TTTGTCGGTGCAGAACGTTTCGTCGACGTTGTGGGTTTTTGTCGGGGAGAAAACTTACAACCGTACAACACTTCAGAATCACACTGCTAGAGATTGAACATGTATTTAAATTTGGCAGCTGAACACATTCTGTACTGTACAGGAGACAGGAGTCCCTTGGCCAATCAGGACACAGCGGGAGGAACACAACACGTGTTCATACAATGTAAAAAAAAAAAAAAAAAAAAAAAAAAAAAAAAAAGGCATGCAAAATTGCACAAAAAAACCCAAAAAATAAAAAATCTGCGAAACAGCGAGACCGCGAAAAGTGAACTGCGATAGAGGGAGGGACAAGCGTAAACCAGGTCTAAACCAGAACTGACCCAGGTCTAAACCAGGTCTAAACCAGAACTGACCCAGGTCTAAACAGCGTGGAGTTCTTTGTCAGTCCTTTCGCCCGCGGTTACCTGAAGGTCTACGAGGGCGCATGTCCTGCGTTTCACCGCTGCTGATATCGAGGTGATTTTAGCGAATTTGTATGAAGAAAAACCCACCACTTCAATCCAGGTTAAAAAAACACTGTAACGCGCGTTACTCACATTTGTACCGAGTAAAACATTACTATTTTTTCCCCTGTAATGCCCTTACATTACTGCGTTACAGCAAAAAGTAATGCATTACTGTAATTCGTTACTTTTATAACGCGTTACTCCCAACACTGTCACTATATGTGCCCAACAAACCCACACAGTCAAACTTTCTACTTTACCGATACCAAAAACATGCAGCTTTTTCATTTATGTTTCTTGATTTCCATGGCTGTGCTATAGTTTTTTGTAGATTCTCACGTGCATCAAAACTACGAATGAACTCAAATGGACTAAACATAGAATAAATGTAAAATAACTCAAAACCAGTTTTTTTAATAGCCACTCTTTGCTTTGATCACTGGTTTGGACACTTGGTATTCCTTAAAAACCATTTCAGGAGCTCACTGAGAGGGACAAGGGTTTGCAGTGTTGTCAATACAAAAAAGGATGGATACTTTGAGTCATTTAAATTTCCGAGTTTTTTTTTTTTTTCTCCTTCTCACAGAACATGTTTGGTCACAAAACAAACTTAAACAAATGTCATATCTCAGTTTTTTATTGGGTTCTGTTTTGTTGGCCAAACTTTTTTGGTCTTTTACTTTTTATTCATGCTGAAATAATTAGCGTTAGAGTTGTCCCGATACGATGACGTGACTGCAGACTCGATTCGCACTCGGACGTTATTGTTAGGAATCACTGGTCGGACCCAAATATGCAGAGGGAAACAAAAGTATTTTATAACAAAAATAGTCTTGGCAGGGGGATAGATTCCAGGGGAGGCAGGACGGGTCCGGGTTGGCTGCAGATGGGAGAGTCTGTGGAGACGGAGGCTGACTGGAGGCTTACAGAAACTGGTGGTAACGGGATGAGACTGGCTCCAAAATGGAAGAACTGGGGAACGGATAAAAGAAAACAGGTAAGAGTCAAAATCTTCTAAAACGCTCAAAAACACAAAAAGCCTGAGTTGTTCACCACTTGGTTGATGGAACGATCTGGCACTGGAGAACAGGTCAGCAGGTCTTTTATTGCCGGAGATGATTAGTTGACGAGGATCAGGAGTGGAGCTCAGCAGGTGAGTGATTGGGGTCCGCCCAGGAAAATCCAAATAGGGTAAGGAGAGAAAGAACAGGGAAGGGAGGGGCAGGAGGGGCAGGATGAAACCCTCACAGTTTCAAGTATCGAATAAATAATATAAGTATATAACACACAGGACGCACCAGTTTTGTTTTTGTTTTGTTTTTTTAACTGAAGGGCGAGATTTACCCAGGGACGTCCAGTCAGCCCCCTGTGGCACCTGATTCTCCCAGCCGTCTCCCGTCCAAACTCCCAGACCCAGACCCAGACCCAGACCCAGCCCGGCTTCGCTTCAGAGATCAGACAAGATCAGACAGACGTGGTACGGCCGTAAAACATTTCTTTATTGATTTACCGCACAGACAAAATAAATAAAAAAAATAAATACAGTAAACAGGCTTGTGGCACAATCTACATAGGACCCTGTTTTTTTAAAGGCACTAAAAATATGAAGGTTTAAACGAGATGAAAGTGCAAATGACAGATTTCTGTTTCATTTCTCATTTTGGATGGAGCTTTGTGTATTGACTAGAGGTGTAACAGTAAAAGTATTCACGCTGAACCGTTTCAGTACAGGACGTTTGGTTCGGTGCAGGTCTGTGCACGAGTGAGTTTGTGCAGTTTGTTTGTTTATATTCCTCCATTACATGTGCAGCTACACGGAGACTCGACCCTTTAATATTCTATATCGCCGTGTCTCCTGATGACCTGAGCCCGATCGATACCCTTTTTAAATGCATTTTAGATATTAAGTCCTGGATGGCAGCAAACTTCCTCCAGCTCAACCAGGGCAAAACTGAGGTTTTAATTATTGGTCCTGAAGCTCAGAGAGAGAAGCTCAAAGCTCCAAACCTCCTGACTGAACCCTGTGAGAGGGTCAAGAGTTTAGGAGTTATTCTTGATCGTGAGCTCAGCTTTGAGCCACACATCAGGTCCAGCACTAAATCTGGTTTTTATCATCTAAAAAATATTGCCACAGTCAGACCTTTTCTCTCTCAAGCCAGTGCAGAGATTTTAATAATGTATAATAATGTTGATTAGTGCAATGCTCTCCTTTCTGGTCTTCCAAAGAAATCTACAGCTCCACTACAGCTCCTCCAAAACTCTGCAGCTGCTGACGAGGACCAGGAAGCGAGAGAACATCACCCCAGTACTGAAGTCTCTGCACTGGCTCCTGCGAGCTTCAGGAGAGATTTTAAAGTTCTTTTATTAGTTTATAAAGCTCTTAATGGTCTTAGTCCTATTTATTTATCTGATCTGCTTTTATCACATGAGCCTCTCGGACTCTCAGCTCCTCAGGTCTCGTCTTTTAACTGTCCCAAGAGTCCAGACTAAAACTCACGGTGAGGCGTCGTTCAGCTTTTACGGTCCCCGTTTGTGGGTTTGCTGTTGTTTTAAATTATTGTATTGTAATTTTTCTGTTGCATGTGAAGAACTTTGTGCTACATTTCAAATGTATGAAAAGTGCTACACAAATAAAGTTTGATTGATTGATTGATTTAATATTCACATCTCATCTGTGAGTTTTCCGCAGCGCTTTATAGTTAGGGCGGCCGCCTTGACAATAACTGCCCCCTCAACTTGACTACGTCTCTCCAAACCACGTGAATCCTCTCAAAACTACGGTCATTGCGCCTCAGTCCTCATTTTCACCTTTTGCCCGAACAAAATCTCTGCACAAAACCAGTCGGCCAACAGATTTACTCTTACTCCAGACGATGTGGACATGTTGATTTTTCTGGCCAAAAATCTGAAGATTGAGTAAAAGTTCATGCTGGAACTGTTAGTGCTGCAATTTACTTAAAGTTTTGTTTACCGTTTACAAGGAATTATTATTTTTTTATCATATTTCATACATTGGAGAATATTTAATTTCACTTATTAGTTTTTACCAAGCAGCACTTTGCATTTATTTTATTTTCCCATTTGTATAAAGTTAAAACAAATTGTTGGTTTAATAAAAACACAAATGGTTTTGCATTTTGTTCGAAAACTGAACCGAAACTGAACCAAACCGTGATTTTTGTTACTGTTATACCCCTAGTATTGACATAGGAAGATATCATATTGAACTCAACTTTCTGTCATTTTCAACTTTTTTTTTTACAAACTTTCATTTCACTCACGTGTATCGGACAAACATTTACAACACGTATCATCCCACCAAACGTTAAAAGGCCCAGACGACGCCGTTTTCTGATGTTCTAATGTTATTTCCTCATCCCACACAGACCTGGAGTTGTGTTTTGTTTCATTCACACGTTTAACGCACAAACTCTGCACATTTAGGCTTCACTAGAATCATTTGGATAGTTTCGGCCCTGGAATTGTCAATCTCCACTGAATTAAAGGTAAATGGAGCTGCGTCATGACATCACAAGGTGGAACTGAGCATTTTGAGCTTTGGAGACGTAAACAAACTAATAATAAAAAGTTACTCAAACGTGTGAATGAAACAAAACACAACTCCAGGTCTGTTTTTGAGGAGGTAACAACATAAAAATAGGACTTAAAGCTCAGAAGAGTCACTTTTGTGTAATATAAGACTTTGGTTTTCACAGTTTTATAGTTAAATCCTTTCATATGCACTTTCTTGTGCAGTGCAGCAGGTCTGATGGACTGAGGATTACACAGTAATGCCACAGTTTAAGTTTACAGCAGTGGTGTTTTATACGAGTGTGGAGATGGAGACTGGTCAGAGTCCTGCACCGGGTCGTGTCGGTAGTCGCTGAAACGGACGGGTTTTAACGTTCTGGAGTTTTACAGGCGGGTAGTGATCACACACGGGCGAGTCAGGAGAATCAAACGAACGACGAACAGGAGAAAAGTACTTGACATGTGCCCAGGTCGTCCGTTGCCCTGGAAACAAGAGACATTTCCCATTTTTTCCCGAAACGATGGACCAAACAAAGATACTTTAGTGTTTTTATTACATAAAACTGTCAGCGGAGGAAATTGGTTCGATGCTGGGCTCCTGGTTTAATCCTGGTTAAGTCCTGGTTTAGTCCTGGTTTAGTCCTGGTTTAGTCCTGGTTTAGTCCTGGTTTAGTCCTGGTTTAGTCCTGGGCCAAAAATTGAACCCGTGCAAGACTCTGAGACCAGTGCGTGTTTTTCTTGAGATGCAAACGGTTTTATAATGTGGAATTTTGTGATTTTACTGTTTTGTATTGATTGGATTCTCTGCTCTATTGGAAAAAAAGAGATTCTGAATAATAATGAGACGTCCTGGTGAAATAAATGTAAACAAAATAAATAAAAATAAAATAAATTCTTGCGTTCAGTCTGTCTGCTCAGGTTTGGCCCCGTGTGTTTGGCTCCGGGCTCCGCAGGTTCCCGTACAGCTGGAGGTTTTGAGGCTCAGAATTTGCTGCTGTGAAGTTGGGCCACTTTCTTCAAGAAGTCCTTCTGGTCTGAGCCGAGCCTGGTCCTGCCGCTGACCTCCTGCCACTCCAAAGACTCCACCGAGTGCTGACTCTTGAAATAAGTAAAGTATCAGAATGTAGGAAAGAGTTACACTCCAACAGGGTCAAGTTAAACCTGTGAGATTCTTTCAAGTTGTTGACAAAAAATTTAAAAACTCATGTCGGTAACGGAGGGAATGAAATATGCAGCACTTTTTTGGGCAATAAATCCAAACAGTGATAACTCTTGGTTCTCACTTCCATATCCTTAACAAACTGGTTTGAATATTTGCTTCATATAGTTTTCTACCATATGGAACAAGATTAGGTTGAAAAACCTCTGACTTTTTGACTCATGAGATTTTTTATTAAGAAAGTTCATGGTAACGGAGGGAAAAGTAACGGAGGGAAAATTGTTCAAACAAGTAGAAGGTGCAGGATTTTACATCATTTGTCACTTTTTTCTTCTGAATACTTTAATATTACTTCAAAATGAAAGGAAACTATTTCTATAAAATATGTCAGTCCTTCCAAGAACATTTTTATCATTTTAAATAATTTTTTTTTTAATCCTGTCCCTTCATCAACAGTTCAAAGATGGAATAACACAAGATATGATGAAATACAAACATTTATTTACATGATTTTCAGGTCTTTGAAATTTGGGAAATAATTTTTGTTCCATGTTTCATACATGGTCTGTTTAAAACATATGGAACTTTAGAACCAAAAATGGTCCAGAAAAAAGGTCAACAGTTTGATAAACTAGAGTACATATGTATCTGTTCAATACATTTTTATATCAGATGCATTAACTTGAATTTTTGGCCTTGTTGTTTACTTCTGCTTGACCGGCCCTCAGATATTTTAAAGACCCCATGTCACAATATTTTATTTTTCCCACAGCAACTGCCAGAATAAGGTAAATCTCGCCGTGCCCAGGTTCTGTCTGTACCTTGTTGATGTCGGCCAGCAGGGGGCAGTCTCTGGCCAGGTGCAGGTGCAGGACTGTGGTCTCCACCCAGGCGTCGTCCGTGTTCCTGGAGTCGTCCACATAACCCTCGTACAGCTCGACCATCTGAGGGCGACACCATTCAAACTCATATCTTAAACGTAAAATGAGAAAAAAAGTGTTTACCGTATTTTTCGGATTGTAACACGCACTAAAATCCTTAAATTTTCTAAAAAGTTGACAGTGCGCCTCATGTATTAATTCTGGTTGTGTTTACTGACCTACGGAAGCCCAGAGGGGTCACAACAAACACAAACACCGCAACAAATACAAACGCGACAACACACCAAAAAAAGCCACAACGGAAGTGACCGCGGGACTCTATTTTCCGACGGACCGATCGAGCGGCAAGTGAAGAAGAACTACAACGTGAAAAGCAAAGGAACGGAGAAGTTGGAAACGTAAGTAAAAGTAATTTATTGTTTTATCGTTATTTGTTTTACATTGTAGTTCTTCTTCTTCACTTGCCGCTTGATCAGTCCGTCGGAAAATAGAGTCCCGCGGTCACTTCCGTTGTGGCTTTTTTATGTTTTGTGGCATTTGTGTATGTGTTGCGGCATTTGCATTAAAATAGAATCCTGTGTTCATTTCCGTTGTGGCTTTTTTTGGTTAGTTGCGGCTTTTTGTTGTGTTGTTGCATTTGTATTTGTTGCAGCGTTTGCGTTTGTTGTGACCCCCTCTCGGCTTCCGTAGGAAACAGTCGTTATCTGTTTTTTCCATTTTTCATTTAAACACAAAAAACGAATCATTATCTGTTTTTTCAATTGGTTTTGGAGAACATTTGTTTTTTCATTTTCTTATTTTTGGTTTTATATTGAAAAACGAATGAATGAACGACACATGGATTCTTGAGGTTTCCCAGTGACATGTGCAGCGTCAGACGTACCTGGTCTTTATCTTTGAGGACCTTCCTGATCTTCTGACACGCCTTGTTCCCCAGAGTTTTCTCCAGATTCTGAGGCAGATCTTCAGCAGAGTCCACTTCTCCCTGAAGAAAAGGACAGAGTCAGTTATGGTCAGGGTTTTTGTTAGGGTCAAGAGTTAGAGTCGGAAATTTACCGATTCATCACCAATTATAGCAGTTGATAAATTTAAATATCTTGGTTTATGAACCGAAGATATTTACTTTTTAATATTTTACTATGTATTTACTATATATAGTAAAATATATATACTATTATATAATATAAAATATTTACTATTTAAGATATTTACTTGGTTTATTAAACCAAGACTAAACCAGGATTGGACCAGGACAGAACCAGGACTAAACAAGGACTAAACCAGGACTAAATCAGGACTAAACCAGGACTGAATCAGGACTAAACCAGGTCTAAATCCGAGACCAAAACCAGGACTAAACCAGGTCTAAACCAGATCTAAACCAGGACTAAACCAGGACTAAACCAGGACTAAACCAGATCTAAACCAGGACTAAACCAGAACCTAACCAGGTCTAAACCAGGTCTAAACCAGATCTAAACCAGGACTAAACCAGGACTAAACCAGGACTAAACCAGGTCTAAACCAGATCTAAACCAGGACTAAACCAGAACCTAACCAGGTCTAAACCAGGTCTAAACCAAAACTGAACCAGGACTAAACCAGGACTGAACCAAGACTAAACCAGGTCTAAACCAGGTCTAAACATGGTCTAAACCAGGACTGAACCAGGTCTGAACCAGGACTAAACCAACTCTAAACCAGTTCTAAACCTGGTCTCAGTCCTGGTCCCAGTCCCGGTCTGGTCCAAGTCCAAACTCTGCCAAAACCACCTCAGGAAACAAGAAAAAGACGGTAAAACTTGAAAACCTGGAGTGTGGAGTTGGGATGAACCGGACTGAAGAGTGAAGCGACCGACAAGTGCCACACATTTACGGAAACTTCTGCCAAAGACTCGGGAAGAACTTTCTCAACAATATTTGATTTGTGTCGTAAAAAGAACGAGCCACGAGTGTGTTCAGCTGTTCTATCTGACAAAGGTCGACACACACGCCAATCAAAAGTTCACAATACGTTTTGGTCGACAACAAAAGGTGTGGTGTTCTAAAACTTTTGATCGGTAGTGTTTATGTTTACAGGCTTTTCAGGTTTCGGCACTGACAGCCAAGGTTCAGTTGCGACTGTAGCTCTTTTTTTAAACTAGTAGAAGCACACACACACACTCACTCACCCCGGGTAATATCAGACATTTCTTGTTCTCGTCCTTAAACACCAGAAACTCCAGCTCAGAACACGCTCTGTCTCTCCACCTGGAATCATTAAAATAACACAGAACATACCGTATTTTTCAGACTATAAGTGTCACTTTTGTTCCTGGTTTGTGTGTTTCCTGTGACTTATTCTCCGGTGTGACTTCTAAATTAAAATGTTTTTGGTGAAGTGTGGAGAGGTTCTAGTCTTGTGTGTGAGGATCTGCTGCTCCTGTTCCTCCTGTACCACTGTCACTTGGCTCTACTGCGCATGTCTCCTGCAGAAAGAGCCTCTGTCCTGTCTGTATCATGTCAGTCGATGGCACCGTTACTTCTGCACCACTCAACAATTTAACATTTAAACTTTAAACTTATAAAGACAAAGACTGAGAAGACTGAACACAAACGCCCCCAAAAAACAAAATCAGATTCTGCAGATTACAAACTGAAAGTCGTGAAATCTGCAGCTGAAAACGGAAATCGAAAGTTTGGAGTGAGTGAGAAATTTGTGACATCGGGAGGATGCACCGTGAAACTTTCCTGGAAGTCACTGGATGGATGGACAAAGTCTGGACCATCCTGTCGGGATTCAGAAAGACTCCAATAATTCTGTAAATATAAGCCAGGTCTATCCCCCGTCTAAACCAAGGTCTAAATCAGGTCTGAACTGGAAGCTGTCCTAAACCAAGTCTAGGTCTAACTGAGGTCTAAACCAGGTCTAAACTAAGTCTAACGAAGATCTAATCCAGGTCTAATCCAGGTCTAAACCAGGTCTAAACCAGGTCTAACCCAAAGTCCTTCAGTGACACCGAAACCATCCTGTCGGGATTCAGAAAGACCCGAATAATTCTAACTGGAACTGATGCTGAGTCTGACGACAGCGACACAGAAGAGTTTGCGTCGCTCTGTTTACCTCCGGAGGTCGAGGCCGAGTTGTTCAGAAGTGACACCGAGGATGAAGAATTGAATGGATTTAGTGATTTGGAGTGAGATGGAGAGTTTGGTTAAACTTGTTCTGTTGTTTATGTTATAGTTTATCTGAAGAACTGTTCATATGTGACGTTAACAGTCTGTTCTTCTCTCTTCTATTGTTTTTACTACAACTTGACTTTACACAGGAAATGTCTGCTCCTGATCTCTGATTTTATTAAATACATTTCTCCCAAAAAGTGCCACTTATAGTAGATGTTTTTTTCTGCTTCATTAAACATGTTTTGGCCGGTGCGACTTATACTCCAGAGCGACTTGTAGTTCGAAAAATACAGTAAGTCAGAAGGAAACAACTATAACACAATTAAAAGCTCTGAAAAGTTGATTTCCTGAACAAAAGCGCTTTAATTTTCATCTTCATCCGTACCGTGTGAGGATGAGGTCGAGACTGCAGTTGGGGCCCAGGCGAGGGAGCACCCCACGGCCCCTCAGACCCGTCCTGCCTCCGGGGTTCCTGTTCACAATCAACAAGAACATCCACGATCAACAAGAACATTCACCATCAACAAGAACATTCAACATCAACAAGAACATTCGTCATCAACAAGAACATCCAACATCAACAAGAACATTTTCGTCATCAACAAGAACATTCGTCATCAACAAGAACATTCAACATCAACAAGAACATTCAACATCAACAAGAACATTCAACATCAACAAGAACATTCAACATCAACAAGAACATCATCAACATCATCAAACAAGAACATTCAACATCAACAAGAACATCCAACATCAACAAGAACATCCAACATCAACAAGAACATCCAACATCAACAAGAACATCCAACATCAACAAGAACATCCAACATCAACAAAAACATTCAACATCAACAAGAACATCCAACATCAACAAGAACATCCAACATCAACAAGAACATTCAACATCAACAAAAACATCAACATCAACAAAACATCCAACATCAACAAGAACATCCAACATCAACAAGAACATTCAACATCAACAAGAACATCCAACATCAACAAGAACATTCAACATCAACAAGAACATTCAACATCAACAAGAAACAACATCAACAAGAACATTCAACATCAACAAGAACATTCAACAAGAACATCATCAACAAGAACATCAACATCAACAAGAACATTCGTCATCAACAAGAACATCCAACATCAACAAGAACATCCAACATCAACAAGAACATCAACATCAACAAGAACATCAACATCAACAAAAACATTCAACATCAACAAGAACATCAACATCAACAAGAACATTCAACATCAACAAGAACATCCAACATCAACAAGAACATCAACAACATCAACAAGAACATTCAACATCAACAAGAACATTCAACATCAAACAAGAACATTCAACATCAACAAGAACATTCAACATCAACAAGAACATCATCACAACAAAAACAACATCATCAACAACATCAACAAGAACATTCAACATCAACAAGAACATTCAACATCAACAAGAACAATCAACAAGAACAACATCCAACATCAACAAGAACATCCAACATCAACAAGAACATTCAACATCAACAAGAACATTCGTCATCAACAAGAACATTCAACATCAACAAGAACATCAACATCAACACATCAACATCAACAAGAACATCCAACATCAACAAGAACATTCAACATCAACAAGAACATTCAACATCAACAAGAACATCCAACATCAACAAGAAACATTCAACATCAACAAAAACATTCAACATCAACAAGAACATCCAACATCAACAAGAACATCCAACATCAACAAGAACATCCAACATCAACAAAAACATTCAACATCAACAAGAACATCCAACATCAACAAGAACATTCAACATCAACAAGAACATTCAACATCAACAAGAACATCCAACATCAACAAGAACATTCAACATCAACAAGAACATTCGTCATCAACAAGAACATCAACAAGAACACAACATCAACAAGAACATCCAACATCAACAAGAACATCCAACATCAACAAGAACATCCAACATCAACAAGAACATTCAACATCAACAAGAACATCAACAAACATCAAACAAGAACATTCAACATCAACAAGAACATTCAACATCAACAAAACATCCAACATCAACAACAACAACATCAACAAGAACATTCAACATCAACAAAAACATCCAACATCAACAAGAACATCAACATCACATCAACAAGAACATCCAACATCAACAAGAACATTCAACATTCAACAAGAACATTCAACATCAACAAGAACATTCAACATCAACAAGAACATTCAACATCAACAAGAACATTCAACATCAACAAAAACATCCAACATCAACAAGAACATCAACATCAACAAGAACATCCAACATCAACAAGAACATCCAACATCAACAAGAACATCCAACATCAACAAGAACATTCAACATCAACAAGAACATTCAACATCAACAAGAACATTCAACATCAACAAGAACATCCAACATCAACAAGAACATCCACAATCAACAAGAACATCCAACATCAACAAGAAAACATCCACATCAAACAAGAACATCCAACCATCAACAAGAACATCCAACATCAACAAGAACATTCAACATCAACAAGAACATCCAACATCAACAAGAACATTCAACATCAACAAAAACATTCAACATCAACAAGAACATTCAACATCAACAAGAACATTCAACATCAACAAGAACATCCAACATCAACAAGAACATCCAACATCAACAAAAACATCCACCATCAACAAGAACATTCAACATCAACAAGAACATTCAACATCAACAAGAACATCAACATCAACAAGAACATCCAACATCAACAAGAACATTCAACATCAACAAGAACATCCAACATCAACAAGAACACATCAACAAGAACATCAACATCAACAAGAACATCCACATCAACAAGAACATCCAACATCAACAAGAAACATCCAACAACATCAAACAAGAACATTCAACAACATCAACAAAGAACATTCAACATCAACAAGAACATTCAAGAACATCAACAAGAACATTCAACATCAACAAAAGAACATCAACATCAACAAGAACATCCAACATCAACAAAAACATCCACATCAACAAGAACATTCAACATCAACAAGAAACATCAACATCAACAAGAACATCCAACATCAACAAAAACATCCACCATCAACAAGAACATTCACATCAACATCATCAACAAGAACATCCAACATCAACAAACACACCACAACATCAACAAGAACATCCAACATCAACAAGAACATCCAACATCAACAAGAACATTCAACATCAACAAGAACATTCAACATCAACAAGAACATCCAACATCAACAAGAACATCCAACATCAACAAGAACATCCACCATCAACAAGAACATTCAACATCAACAAGAAAGATTACACCATCTGATACTCAAGTGTGAACTTTACTTGCAAGTGTCAGATCCAGGCTCCGATCTGCAACAAAACACAAAACAGCAGGTTTAGTCCTGGCATCAGTCCTGGTTTAGTCTTGTTTTAGTCCTGGTTTAGTCCTGTTTTAGTCCTGTTTTAGACCTGGTTTAGTCCTGGTTTAGTCCTGATTCAGTCCTGGTTCATTATTATTCTTGATCAGGGAGCAGTCGTACTTGTCCACTGTGTCCGGTGAGGAGTAATACGGGGGGTTGTAGGAGCTGAAGTTCACCTGAAAACAACAACAGGATTCTGCCGTTAGTGCGGAGAAGCTTTAGACACAACACAAGACATTTTCTCTTCAGTTTCCAGTGAATAATCCTGACAACGGTCTGAGTAATTTAATGTCTCTCTTTTTTTAATTTGATGATGATTATTTATGTTTATGTTTAGAGCCTCCGTTCTGAGACTCGTACCTCCCAGGGCACCTTCTCCTCGGGCACGGGGAAGCGGGTGACTTTGCTGTCGGGGTAGTGGAGCTGACGAGCTTTCACGTGGCGACTCTCCTCTCGCTCCACCGGCTTTGTGAGGCCGTCAGTGCAGTCCTCCGCGAGAATCAGATCTGCAAAGAAAATATGAAGCTAAAAACTGCGTGTAAACTGTCGAATTGTTTTTGCTTTACCAGGAACTTTCTACTTTTTTCAAATTTATTATTAGCATTTATGGTGGTGGTGGAGGGGTTTGAGGGCCTGAATGATCCCGGGAGCTATATTGTCGGGGACTTTATGGTCCTGGTAGAGTCACCCAAGACAAACAGGTCCAGGGGGGACGGATCAGACGAAGAACGGTTCAGAAGCCCTTTACTATGATGTCCACACAGAAGCCAGATACGTCGCTCGGAATGGCGTCGCCGGGGCCCCCACCCTGGAGCCAGGCTTGGGGTGGGTGCTCAACGGCAAGTGTTTGGGAACGCCTTTCCATGGGCCCACCACCTGCGGGAGGAGCCATAAGGGGCCGGTGCTGTGAGATCTGGGCGGCAGTCGAAGGCGGGGGGCCTCGACGACCGGGTCTACGGACATGGAGACTAGCCCCGGACTATCCAAGTGGCCTGGGTGGCATTTGAAAAAAATCAGATCTGTGTAGTTCAGATACAGGAGCGTAGGGACAAAAAAATCGGATTTGGGTCACTTCGGGCTGCAGACTGAACGCAGCCTTGGATATGTGCTCCTAAAACCGACACATATCTGATCTTTTGACACGTGACTTCAGTCTGAACGGTCAGGTCACGTTCATCCACCTACACATCAGACTTAGTCTACGTTCAGACTGCAGGGCTTAACGCTCAATTCCGATTTTTTTGTGAAATCCGATGTTTTTGCGAGGTGGTTCACATTTCCAGTGAAATGTGACTTGTGTGTGACTCCAGTGTGAACATTAAACAGTCCAAAAGTGTCCCACATGTGACACTGGAGACACGACGACGTCAACCGCAGTGAGCGTCTCTGTGTTTACGGAAGTTGTCCAAACATGGACGCAGCATCGAGCACCTGGAGATTTTAAAGTTCCTCTCGTACCAGAGCCAGAACATGAACAACTTACTTGTTTTAAGGAGGAGATTGAGAAGGAGAAGGACGAGGTTTTTGGTCGTGGTGTTTTGTGGTGAGTGGTGATGTGCTTCACTTCAGTCACATGGATCATTAACAATTTTCACCTACTTCAGCACAGAATAGTGACGTTTGTGTCTTGTTGATAACGTGTAGGTGGATGAATGCACTTTGTCCGTTCAGACTGAAGTCACATGTCAAAAGATCAGATATGTATCAGTTTCATGAGCACATATCCAAGTGTCCTGGGTCACATTTGAAAAAATCAGATCTGTGTCGTTCAGACTGTCATTAAAAGATCAGATACAAGAGCATAGAGGCCAAAAAATTGGATTTGGGTCACTTCAGGCTGCAGTCTGAACGCAGCCTTAGAGTCTCGACAATGGAGGGAACGTGAGGTTAGAGAGTTTATTCATATTTGGGGGGATCTCTGTATTTCCAAATTGGGGGAGTCTTATCGGAACTGGGCGGTTTTTGAAATGACTCCTAAAGAAATGTCCGAGCGCGGCTACAGACGGACCTGACTCCAATGTCAACGAAAAATAAAGAACCTGCGAGAAAAACACAAGGAGGATAAAGACTCAAACAAACGAAGCGGCCGTGGACGTGTGACCTGAACATTTTACCAACAACTGGACCAGATTTTAGGAAGTGAGCCCAGAGTTTAGGCGACTTCCGTAAACAATGCTCATGTGGGACACTTTTGGGGCGTTTAAAGTAGGGGTGTCAAATTATCGCGTTAATTGCGATTAATTAATTACAGTCATATTTAGCGCGTTATGTTTTTTAATCGCGTTAATCTAATTTTTAATCTCTAACTTTACTGTTTCTGTATGTGAGTTGCCTTATTATAAAATCTGTTTTTATGTGTTGTTGGGACAATAACACATCGCTTCCGCAAACAATTGTGATTTTCTTTCTCGTTCTCGACGCATCTGTGATAAACCTGCACACGTCTGAAAACATCACGACACAAACACAGAACAGACTCACCTTCACCTTCAACACTGTCAGAAAACTCAGATTCCACTGAGTCGTGTCCTTCAGTCCCACAGAAGCTGAACCGCATCAGCGACACAAGAGCTTTTTTTTTTTTCTCGCTTAGTTTATGCAAATTAGACATGCGGTTTTTAAGTTTCGTTTCTGTGAGATTTGCGCAAATCAGCATTAAACACATTATAATTTCAAACGAGCTGATGTGGTTCTAGTGTTCATGGTTTATATGTAATAATAATAATGTAATAATGAATTTAAATGAAAATACCTCAAGTTGAAGGCTTTTCTCAGCTATTTTTAGGTGAGATTAAAAAGAGATTAATTAGATTAATTAATTATGATCTGTAATTAATTAATCTCTCAATTTTTTTAATCGCCTGACAGCACTAGTTTAAAGTTCACACTGGAGATCACACACAAGTCACATTTAACTGGAAATGTGAACGGCAATAACAGCTTCACCGGCGCTAGAAAAGTTCCTCAGTGCCTCTTTAACGTGAATGACTGTCAGATGTTTTACTCAGTGATGGAGCGTCCGTCGGTCTGAATCCTGCCGGTCTCAGATTGTCCATGATCCACTGCAGAGCTCGGGCCGACTGCACCATCTGGACGGAACAAAGAGAAGAGCTGAGATGGTGAAAACGAGACGGGTTAGATTTTATTTAACTTTACAAGTAGTTTTATACTTTTATACTCTATACTTTTCTGTTGGAGGCTTTGAGCTGTTTTTGCTTTGTCTGGAATGTTTCACAGTGTGGCTTTAAACCTTTCTATCTTCACGGAGACCAAACCGGACTAATCCGTGTGTCATTCGTTCATTCGTTTTTCAATATAAAACCAAAAATAAGAAAATGAAAATTATTTGTTTCCAAAACCAAAATGAAAAAATGGATAATGAATCATTTTTTTTCAGTTTTCGATTTTGTGTTTAAATGAAAAATGGAAAAAACGGATGACGGACGTTTCCCGTTTACATGACGTCTGTGACTGCGTTGCCGGACTTTTGCACTGCAGAAGGATGGGACCAGGATGGAAAACTGAAAAAACAAATCATTATCTGTTTTTTTCATTTTAGTTTTGAACATAAATAAAGAAGAAAACTGTTGTTTTGTCATTTTTTTTTTTCTTATTTTTGGTTTTATATTGAAAATGAATGAACGAACAAAACACAGATTCAAACCAAGTTACAGATCAGCTGCTAGCAGGTCTAAAGTAGGACTAAACTAGGACTAAACCAGGTCTAAAACCAGGTCTAAAAACCAGGTCTAAAACCAGGTCTAAAACCAGGTCTAAACCAGGTCTAAAACCAGGTCTAAACCAGGTCTAAACCAGGTCTAAACCAGGTCTAAACCAGGTCTAAAGTAGGACTAAACTAGGACGAAACCAGGTCTAAACCAGGTCTAAAGCAGGTCTAAAGTAGGACTAAACTAGGACGAAACCAGGTCTAAACCAGGTCTAAACCAGGTCTAAACCAGGTCTAAACCAGGTCTAAACCAGGTCTAAACCAGGTCTAAAACCCAGGTCTAAAACCAGGTCTAAACTAGGACTAAAACTAGGACTAAACCAGGTCTAAAACCAGGTCTAAAACCAGGTCTAAAACCAGGTCTAAAAACAGGTCTAAACCAGGACTAAAACTAGGACTAAACCAGGTCTAAACCAGGTCTAAAACCAGGTCTAAACCAGGTCTAAACCAGGTCTAAACCAGGACTAAACAGGACTAAACAGGACTAAACCAGGTCTAAACCAGGTCTATCTCTTCTCTGTGCAGGGAATCTCCACGGCTTTTTTATCCTGTGTTTCTGTAGAATAAGACGCTTTTATAACCATCAAATATTTCTTGAGGAGTGGATTGTTTCAGCCGCGGCGCGACTCAAGGCCGACGTGTGAAACGCATCATAATCTAGTTTCCTCATCACAATCAGACCTGGACTTGTGTTTTCTTTTTGCTTCATTCACATGTTTAAACACAAACCTGCACATTACTTTGAGTTCTTCTCTCAAAACTGAAAAACTGTCTGTTCCCAGGATCAGAGACAGAGACAGAGACAGAGTCAGAGACAGAGACAGAGACAGAGACAGAGACAGAGACAGAGACAGAGACAGAGACAGAGACAGAGACAGAGACAGAGACAGAGACAAGACAGAGACAGAGACAGAGACAGAGACAGAGACAGAGACAGAGACAAGACAGAGACACAGAGACAGAGACAGAGACAGAGACAGAGACAGAGACAGAGACAGAGACAGAGACAGAGACAGAGACAGAGACAGAGACAGAGACAGAGACAGAGACAGAGACAAGACAGAGACAGAGACAGAGACAAGACAGACAGAGACAGAGACAGAGACAGAGACAGAGAGACAGAGACAGAGACAGAGACAGAGACAGAGACAGAGACAGAGACAGAGACAGAGACAGAGACAGAGACAGAGACAGAGACAGAGACAGAGACAGAGACAGAGACAGAGACAGAGACAGAGACAGAGACAGAGACAGAGACAGAGACAGAGACAGAGACAGAGACAGAGACAGAGACAGAGACAGAGACAGAGACAGAGACAGAGAGACAGAGACAGAGACAGAGACAGAGACAGAGACAGAGACAGAGACAGAGACAGAGACAGAGACAGAGACAGAGACAGAGACAGAGACAGAGACAGAGACAGAGACAGAGACAGAGACAGAGACAGAGACAGAGACAGAGACAAGACAGAGACAGAGACAGAGACAGAGACAGAGACAGAGACAGAGACAGAGACAGAGAGACAGAGACAGAGACAGAGACAGAGACAGAGACAGAGACAGAGACAGAGACAGAGACAGAGACAGAGACAGAGACAGAGACAGAGACAGAGACAGAGACAGAGACAGAGACAGAGACAGACAGAGACAGAGACAGAGACAGAGACAGAGACAGAGACAGAGACAGAGACAGAGACAGAGACAGAGACAGAGACAGAGACAGAGACAAGACGAGACAGAGACAGAGACAGAGACAGAGACAGAGACAGACAGAGACAGAGACAGAGACAGAGACAGAGACAGAGACAGAGACAGAGACAGAGACAGAGACAGAGACACAGAGACAGAGACAGAGACAGAGACAGAGACAGAGACAGAGACACAGAGACAGAGACAGAGACAGAGACAGAGAGACAGAGACAGAGACAGAGACAGAGACAGAGACAGAGACAGAGGACAGAGACAGAGACAGAGACAGAGAGACAGAGACAGAGACAGAGACAGAGACAGAGACAGAGACAGAGACAGAGACAGAGACAGAGACAGAGACAGAGACAGAGACAGAGACAGAGACAGAGACAGACAGAGACAGAGACAGAGACAGAGACACAAGACAGACAGAGACAGAGACAGAGACAGACGACAGAGACAGAGACAGAGACAGAGACAGAGACAGACAGAGACAGAGATAGAGACAGAGACAGAGACAGACAGAGACAGAGACAGAGACAGACAGAGACAGAGACAGAGAGACAGAGACAGAGACAGAGACAGAGACAGACACAGAGAGACAGAGACACAGAGACAGACAGAGACAGAGACAGAGACAGAGACAGAGACAGAGACAGAGACAGAGACAGAGACAGAGACAGAGACAGAGACAGAGACAGACAGAGACAGAGACAGAGACAGAGACAGAGACAGAGACACACAGAGACAGAGACAGAGACAGAGACACAAGACAGAGACAGAGACAGAGACAGACAGAGACAGAGAGACAGAGACAGAGACAGAGACAGAGACAGAGACAGAGACAGAGACAGAGACAGAGACAGAGACAGAGACAGAGACAGAGACAGAGACAGAGACAGAGACAGAGACAGAGACAGAGACAGAGACACAGAGACAGAGACAGAGACAGAGACAGAGACAGACAGAGACAGAGACAGAGACACACAGAGACAGAGACAGAGACAGAGACAGAGACAGAGACAGAGACAGAGACAGAGACAGACAGAGACAGAGACAGAGACACAAGACAGAGACAGAGACACAGAGACAGAGACAGAGACAGAGACAGAGACAGAGACAGAGACACAGAGACAGAGACAGAGGACAGAGACAGAGACAGGAGACACAGAGACAGAGACAGAGACACACAAGACAGAGACAGAGAGACAGAGCAGAGACAGAGACAGAGACACAGAGAGACACAGAGACAGAGACAGAGACAGAGACACAGAGACAGAGACAGAGACAGAGACACAGAGACACAAGACAGAGACAGAGACACAAGACAGAGACAGAGACAGAGACAGAGACAGACACAGAGAGACAGAGACACAAGACAGAGACAGAGACAGAGACAGAGACAGAGACAGAGACAGAGACACAGAGACACAGAGACAGAGACAGAGACAGAGACAGAGACAGAGACAGAGACAGAGACAGAGACACAGAGACAGAGACAGAGACAGAGACAGAGACAGAGTGTCCTGGGAGAAACTAAGGTCAAACTAGGTCTAAACCAGAATTAAACTAGGACTAAACCATTAATAAACCAGGTCAAAACCAGGACTAAACTAGGACTAAAGCAGGACTAAACTAGGACTAAACCAGGACTAAACTAGGACTAAACAGGACTAAACCAGGACTAAACTAGGACTAAAGACTAAACAGGACTAAACTAGACTAAACAGACTAAGGACTAAACAGGACTAAACCAGGACTAAACAGGACTAGGACTAAACTAGGACTAAACCAGGACTAAAACTAGGACTAAACAGGACTAAACTAGGACTAAAAGGACTAAACAGGACTAAAACTAGGACTAAAACCAGGACTAAACTAGGACTAAACCAGGACTAAACTAGGACTAAACCAGGACTAAACAGGACTAAACCAGGTCTAAACCAGGACTAAACTAGGACTAAACCAGGACTAAACTAAACCAAGACTAAAACTAGGACTAAAGCAGGACTAAACTAGGACTAAACTAGGACTAAACCAGGACTAAACTAGGACTAAACCAGGACTAAACTAGGACTAAAGCAGGACTAAACTAGGACTAAACTAGGACTAAACCAGGACTAAACTAGGACTAAACCAGGACTAAACTAGGACTAAAGCAGGACTAAACTAGGACTAAACTAGGACTAAACCAGGACTAAACCAGGACTAAACCAGGACTAAACCAGGACTAAACTAGGACTAAACCAGGACTAAACCAGGACTAAACCAGGACTAAACAGGTCTAAACCAGGACTAAACTAGGGACTAAAGCAGGACTAAACCAGGACTAAAACTAGGACTAAACCAGGACTAAACCAGGACTAAACCAGGACTAAACTAGGACTAAACCAGGACTAAACCAGGGACTAAACCAGGACTAAAACTAGGACTAAACTAGGACTAAACCAGGACTAAACCAGGACTAAACTAGGACTAAACCAGGTCTAAACCAGGACTAAACCAGGACTAAACCAGGACTAAACTAGGACTAAACCAGGACTAAACTAGGACTAAACCAGGACTTAAACCAGGACTAAACCAGGACTAAACCAGGGACTAAACCAGGACTAAACCAGGACTAAACCAGGACTAAACCAGGACTAAAACCAGGACTAAACCAGGACTAAACCAGGACTAAACCAGGACTAAACCAGGACTAAACCAGGACTAAAAACTAGGACTAAACCAGGACTAAACAGGACTAAACCAGGACTAAACTAGGACTAAAAGGACTAAACCAGGACTAAACAGGACTAAACCAGGACTAAACCAGGGACTAAACCAGGACTAAACAGGACTAAAACCAGGACTAAAACCAGGTCTAAACCAGGACTAAACTAGGACTAAACCAGGACTAAACCAGGACTAAAACTAGGACTAAACCAGACTAAACCAGGACTAAACCAGGACAAAACTAGGACTAAAACCAGGACTAAACTAGGACTAAACCAGGACTAAACTAGGACTAAAACTAGGACTAAACCAGGACTAAACCAGGACTAAACTAGGACTAAACTAGGACTAAACCAGGACTAAAACTAGGACTAAACCAGGACTAAACTAGGACTAAACCAGGACTAAACCAACTAAACCAGGACTAAACCAGGCAGGACTAAACCAGGACTAAAACCAGGACTAAACTAGGACTAAACCAGGACTAAAACTAGGACTAAACTAGGACTAAACCAGGACTAAACTAGGACTACTAAAAGGACCAGGACTAAACTAAACCAGGACTCTAAACCAGGACTAAACTAAACCAGGACTAAAAACCAGGACTAAACCAGGACTAAGGACTAGGACTAAACCAGGACTAAACCAGGACTAAACAGGACTAAAAACTAAACAGGACTAAACCAGGACTAAACAGGACTAAAGCAGGACTAAACTAGGACTAAACTAGGACTAAAGCAGGACTAAACTAGGACTAAACCAGGACTAAACTAGGACTAAAGCAGGACTAAACTAGGACTTCTCTCAAACTGAAACTGTCTGTTCCCAGGATCAGACAGAGACAGACAGACAGAGACAGACAGAGACAGAGACAGAGACAGAGACAGACACAGACACAGACAAGACAGAGACAGAGACAGAGACAAGACAGAGACAGAGACAGAGACAGAGACACAGAGACAAGAGACAGAGACAGAGACAGAGACAGAGACAGACAGAGACAGAGACAGAGACAGAGACAGAGACAGAGACAGAGACACAGAGACAGAGACAGAGACAGAGACAGAGACAGAGACAGAGACAGAGACAGAGACAGAGACAGAGACAGAGACAGAGACAGAGACAGAGACAGAGACAGAGACAGAGACACAGAGACAGAGACAGAGACACAAGACAGAGACACAAGACAGAGACATAGAGACAGAGACAGAGACAGAGACAGAGACAGAGACAGAGACAGACAGAGACAGAGACAGAGACAGAGACAGAGACAGAGACAGAGACAGAGACAGAGACAGAGACAGAGACAGAGACAGAGACAGAGACAGAGACAGAGACAGAGACAGAGACAGACAGACAGAGACACAGAGACAGACAGACAGAGACAGAGACAGAGACAGAGACAGAGACAGAGACAGCGTGTCCCGGGAGAAACTACACTGATGATTAAAGCCTGTATTGACGGCGACCGCACCTGCTCCTCGAGTCGGGCCATGCGCCGCACCACAGACCCAGAACCGGGCTCCTCCTCTCGCTCCACGCGCTCGCAGATGGTGGACACTCTGCAGGAGAAGAACACACCAGCCACACATGAACAAAGACTCTCAAACACAATCTGTGTGTCGTTTGTTTTTCAAAATAAAACCAAAAATAACAAAATGAAAAAAAAAACAAACTATGATTTTCTTTATTATTTGTCTCCAAAAAAAAAAAAATAAATGAAAAAACAGATAATGATTCGTTTTTTCAGCTTTTGATTTTGTTTTAAAAATGAAACCAATGACTAAAAAAACCAGGACTAAACCAGGACTAAACAGGACTAACCAGGACTAAACCAGGACTACTGAACCAGGACTAAACCAGGACTAAACCAGGACTAAACCAGGACTAAACCAGGAACAGGAAACCAGGACTAAACCAGGACTAAACCAACTGACTAACCAGGACTAAACCAGGACTAAACCAGGACTAAACCAGGACTAAACCAGGACTAAACCAGGACTAAACCAGGACTAAACCAGGACTAAACAAGGACTAAACCAGGACTAAACCAGGACTAAACCAGGACTAAACCAGGACTAAACCAGGACTAAACCAGGACTAAACCAGGACTAAAACAGGACTAAACCAGGACTAAACCAGGTCTAAACCAGGACTAAACCAGGACTAAACCAGGACTAAACCAGACTAAACCAGACTAAACCAGGACTAAAACCAGGACTAAACCAGACTAAACCAGACTAAACCAGGACTAAACCAGGACTAAACCAGGACTAAACCAGGACTAAACCAGGACTAAACCAGGACTAAACCAGACTAAAACCAGGACTAAACCAGGACTAAACCAGGACTAAACCAGGACTAAACCAGGACTAAAACCAGGACTAAACCAGGACTAAACCACTAAACCAGGACTCTAAACCAGGACTAAACCAGGACTGAACCAGGACTAAACCAGGACTAAAACCAGGACTAAACCAGGACTAAACCAGGACTAAACCAGGACTAAAACAGGACTAAACCAGGACTAAACCAGGACTAAACCAGGACTAAACCAGGACTAAACCAGGACTAAACCAGGACTAAACCAGGACTAAAACAGGACTAAAACCAGGACTAAACCAGGACTAAACCAGGACTGAACCAGGACTAAAACAGGACTAAACCAGGACTGAACCAGGACTAAAACAGGACTAAACCAGGACTAAACCAGGACTAAAACCAGGACTAAACCAGGACTAAACCAGGACTAAACCAGGACTAAACCAGGACTAAAACAGGACTAAACCAGGACTAAACCAGGACTAAAACCAGGACTAAACCAGGACTAAACCAGGACTGAACCAGGACTAAACCAGGACTAAACCAGGACTAAACCAGGACTGAACCAGGACTAAACCAGGACTAAACCAGGACTAAACCAGGACTAAACCAGGTCTAAACCAGGACTAAACCAGGACTAAACCAGGACTGAACCAGGACTGAACCAGGACTAAACCAGACTAAACCAGGACTAAACCAGGACTAAACCAGGACTAAACCAGGACTAAACCAGGACTGAACCAGGACTAAACCAGGACTAAACCAGGACTGAACCAGGACTAAACCAGGACTAAACCAGGACTGAACCAGGACTAAACCAGGACTAAACCAGGACTAAACCAGGACTAAAACAGGACTAAACCAGAACTGAACCAGGACTAAACCAAGACTAACCAGTCTCAGTCCTGGTCTCAGTCCCGATCTGGTCTCGATCTGGGCCCAGTCTCGGTCCCAGTCTGCTCCCGCTCTGGTCCTGGTCTCAGTTCCAGTCTGGTCTCAGTCTCAGTCCCGGTCTGGTCCTGGTCACTCAGTCCCCGTCTCAGTTCCGATCTCAGTCTTGGTCTGGTCCCGATTTGGTCCTGGTCTGGTCCCGTCCCGACACTTAGTCCTCGTTCAGTCCTGGTTTAGTTCTAGTTTAGACCTGTTTTAGTCCTGGTTCAGTCTGTTATCAGTTTTTTTTCCATTTTTCATTTAAACACAAAATCGAAAACTGAAAAAACGAATCATTATCTGTTTTTCATTTTGGTTTTGGAGACAAATAATGAAGAAAACAGTTGTATTATCATCATATCTCTGTGTATTTGTGTAGTATTTGTCGTATCTTTGTGTATTTGTGTACTTGTAGTACATTCGCGTTTCCTCGGACACGAAGCCGGAGCTGTTGTACGAGCTCCTGACAGAACAATGGAAACTGTCTCCTCCGAACCTGCTCATCTCTGTGACTGGAGGAGCCAAGAACTTCTACCTGAAGGCCCGACTCAAGAGCATGTTCCACAGAGGCCTGATCAAAGTCGCCCAGACCACAGGTGAGGCCACGCCGCACCGCCAAAAGTACACGCACAAAAGCACAAAGTAAAAGTGTCACGCGACGTAGGCGACGAGTGAGCCGCCCTTCCTCCGCCCGTCTCAGGGAGGGAGGGGGAGACAGAAGGAATAACTGGACAAACTTGAATCCTGTAATAATGTTTGATCAAATGAGGAGGTCATAATGTGAACAGGTGAACACTAAACATCAGTGCTCGTAATGACTGAGGTGTAATCGCCGTTTTGTTCTCGTGCAGAAGCGTTGAAGACGACTCACTAGAATAAAACGATGCCCTAAGTCTGTTGTTAGTATCAGTGTGATATCGTAGGACGACGTAACGTTTGTCAAACTAAAACAGGTAGAACAATGGACATGACATACACTTGAAATTATAATTTGGATAATCTTCAAAAACAAACACTGCAGTTAGTTTTTAGTTCTCTTCAGCGGTTTACTCGCGGTAAACGTACAGATGTAGGATCTCCATCACTGGACCTGGTATCGTGGGAACATCCTTTTCCGTGTCGCTTCTGCTTCGTTGTAAGTTAGGCATCATAAGTAGTTTTTACTTCAGCCTAAACCCTTTCGGTCAAGATCTATGGGGTTGTAGTCTATGTTTTGTTTTTGTTTTGTTTTGTAATGCTGCAAAATGACCGAATAAACTACAACTACTAAGTCCAGTTTTAAAACACCTGTAGTTCTCGATGCGTCTTCGGTGAAGTGTCGCTCACAAACTAAAATATTCTTGGGGACCTTTTTGTCTGTGTTCCCAGAAATAAACTCCAGACACTGAACACGTACGAGCCAGGATCTGGGTTCACCGGACGCTGTCGGGGGTGAGTCAGTGTTGATGTACGACGCTGCTCACGGGGACGACACACAGATTTATGTCAAAAAAACAGAATTATCTCTTTATCCCAAAGCGTGCCGCGGGCCTCACTTTTGTGCCGTGTCCAGGATCCTGTGCTCTGTGCTCTGCATCTTCTCCTGCTTCAGGGACGTCAGGTATTTGTCCTTCATCAGAGCCTCCCAGGACAGAAGCTCCTCCTCCTCCGTCTGAGAAAGTTCATATTCTACAACCAAAAAACAATCAGACGTTTGGACTGAGCGTAAACTGTACAAAGAAGTGTTTTTTACTAATTATGCTTTATCTGCAGTGTCGGGGAGTAACAGATTACATGTACCGGAGTTATGTAATGTAAATAAAGAGTACAATTTATGAGTAACTGTATTCAGTTACAGTTACTGTTTCAGTGAGTGGTAATTGGATTACAGTTACTCTGTTGAAATAAACGGATTACACAGAGGGATTTTCCTGTGTTCACATTTTGGGCTATTCCTTTTTTTTTGTGGTAATTCTACTCATTGCCAGACACTAAACCAGGTCTAAAACCAGGTCTAAACTAGGATTAAAACCAGGTCTAAACCAGGACTAAACCATGTCTAAACAAGGACTAAAACCAGGTCCAAACTAGGTCTAAACCAGGTCTAAACCAGGTCTAAACCAGGTCTAAACCATTAATAAACTAGGTCAAAACCAGGACTAAACTAGGACTAAAGCAGGACTAAACCAGGACTAAACTAGGACTAAACCAGGAATAAACCAGGTCAAAAGCAGGACTAAACCAGGTCTAAACCATGACTAAACCAGGACTAAAACCAGGACTAAACTAGGACTAAACTAAACCAGGAATAAACCAGGTCTAAACCAGGACAGGACTAAACCAGGACTAAACCAGGTCTAAACCAGAATTAAACTAGGACTAAACATTAAAAACCAGGTCAAAAACAGGACTAAACTAGGACTAAACCAGGACTAAACCAGAATTAAACTAGGACTAAACCATTAGGACTAAACAGGTCTAAACCATGACTAAACCAGGACTACTAAACCAGGACTAAACCAGGACTAAAACCAGGACTAAACCAGGACTAAAACCAGGACTAAACCAGGACTAAAACCAAGTCTAAACCAGGATTTAACAGGACTAAATCGTGCTGTGCAGGTGTGTCTCCTCTTCTTCTATCAATAATATTTTTAATACGGTTTTATTTTCTTTTTGCAGATCAAACTTCTCACGTGAAGATTTCCCCGTCTTTGCTTCTCTACAGCAAATCAAGTAATCCAGAGTAATCAGATTACATTACTCACTGAAGTCGGTGCAGGGGTGGGCCGGTCTGCACAGCACCACGCGCCGCACCAACAGGTACAGGTGAGACAGGAGGATGAAAGGGGGCGGGGCTGCGGGGCGGCTGTGGTACTCCTTTATCAGCTCGTACCGCTGGAACTTCCATATCGGTTGCCTGTTGTCACTAAACCAGGACCAAAACCAGGTCTAAACCAGGACTAAACCAGGTCTAAACCAGGACTAAAACAGGTCTAAACCAAACTAAACCAGGACTAAACCAGGACTAAAACCAGGTCTAAACCAGGACTAAACCAGGAAACTAAAACCAGGACTAAACCAGGTCTAAACCAGGACTAAACCAGGTCTAAAAACAGGACTAAAACCAGGTCTAAACCAGGTCTAAAAGACTAAACCAGGACTAAACCAGGACTAAAAACCAGGTCTAAACCAGGACTAAACCAGGTCTAAACCAGGAAACTAAAACCAGGAACTAAACCAGGACTAAACCAGGTCTAAACCAGGAAAACTAAACCAGGTCTAAACCAGGACTAAACCAGGACTAAAACCAGGTCTAAACCAGGACTAAAACCAGGACTAAACCAGGACTAAAACCAGGACTAAAACCAGGACTAAACCAGGACTAAACCAGGTCTAAACCAGGACTAAACCAGGACTCTAAACCAGGAAAACTAAAACCAGGTCTAAAACCAGGTCTAAACCAGGACTAAACCAGGGACTAAACCAGGACTAAAACTAAACCAGGTCTAAACCAGGAACTAAACCAGGACTAAAACCAGGTCTAAACCAGGAACTAAACCAGGTCTAAACCAGGACTAAAACCAGGTCTAAACCAGGTCTAAACCAGGACTAAACCGACTAAACCAGGACTAAAACCAGGTCTAAACCAGGACTAAACCAGGACTAAACCAGGTCTAAAACCAGGTCTAAACCAGGACTAAAAAACTAAAACCAGGACTAAAACCAGGTCTAAACCAGGACTAAACCAGGTCTAAACCAGGACTAAAATCAGGACTAAACCAGGTCTAAACCAGGTCTAAACCAGGACTAAAACCAGGTCTAAACCAGGTCTAAACCAGGACTAAACCAGGACTAAACCAGGACTAAACCAGGTCTAAACCAGGTCTAAACCAGGACTAAACCAAACCAGGTCTAAAACCAGGTCTAAACCAGGACTAAACCAGGACTAAACCAGGTCTAAACCAGGACTAAACCAGGTCTCTAAACCAGGACTAAACCTAAACCAAAAACCACTAAACCAGGACTAAACCAGGTCTAAAACCAGGAACTAAAACCAGAACTAAACCAGGTCTAAACCAGGACTAAAATTAGGACTAAAACCAGGTCTAAACCAGAACTAAACCAAGACTAAAACCAGGTCTAAATCAGGTCTAAACCAGGACTTAATGAGAACTAAAACCAGGACTAAAATCAGGACTAAACCAGGACTATAACCAGGTCTAAACCAGATCTACATCAAGACTAAACCAGGTCTAAACCAGGTCTAAAATCAGGACTAAAACCAAGTCTACATCGAGTCTACGCCAGGACTAAACCAGGACTAAACCAGGACGAAATCAGGTCTAAACCAGGTCTAAAATCAGGACTAAAACCAAGTCTACATCGAGTCTACATCAGGTCTACAGCAGGACTAAACCAGGACTAAATCAGATCTAAACTAGGTCTAAAATCAGGACTATAACCAGGTCTAAACCAGAACTAAACCAGGTCTAAGCCAGAACTAAAACCAGAACTAAACCAGGACTAAAACAGGACTAAACCAGGACTAAATCCAGGTCTAAACCAGAACTAAACCAGGACTAAAACCACGCCTAAACCAGGACTAAACTAGGTCTAAGACAGAACTAAAACCAGAACTAAACCAGGTCTAAACCAGGACTAAAATTAGGACTAAAACCAGGTCTAAACCAGAACTAAACCAAGACTAAAACCAGGTCTAAATCAGGTCTAAACCAGGACTTAATGAGAACTAAAACCAGGACTAAAATCAGGACTAAACCAGGACTATAACCAGGTCTAAACCAGGACTAAACCAGGAGAACTAAAACCAGGACTAAACCAGGACTAAACCAAAAGATCTAAAACCAGGTCTAAAAATCAGGACTAAAAACCAGGTCTAAACCAGAACTAAAACCAGACTAAACCAGGAACTAAAACCAGGTCTAAACCAGGACTAAACCAGGACTAAACCAGGACTAAACCAGGACTAAACTAAACCAGGTCTAAACCAGGAACTAAACCAGGACTAAAACCAGGACTAAACCAGGACTAAACCAGGACTAAACCAGGAAAACTAAAACCAGGGGACTAAACCAGGACTAAACCAGGACTAAAATCCAGGACTAAAACCAAGTCTACATCGAGTCTACGCCAGGACTAAACCAGGACTAAACCAGGACTAAATCAGGTCTAAAATCAGGACTATAACCAAGTCTACATCGAGTCTACATCGGGTCTACAGCAGGACTAAACCAGGACTAAATCAGATCTAAACTAGGTCTAGAATCAGGACTAAATCAGGTTTTAAACCAGGACTAAACTAGAATAGAATAGTGTTTTTCTAGGTATTTTTGAGCTGTAAAACCACCTGTGATTGAACAAACGTGAAGTAGAAATGTTTTAATGTCACACTGTGGAACATTTCAGGCGGGGAGTGAAATGTCCCCGCGCGTCGTGACTCACTTGAAGATGGCGATGAGCAGGTTGAGGAGCAGGATGTTGGCGAACAGCAGGTAGACGCACAGCATGAGGATGGTGAGCCACTCGGGGAAGGCGGGCATCTGGTCGTCGTTCAGCACCGGGCACTTGGGTTTCAGAGGGTCACTGCCGCTCATGCTGCACGAGTCGATGTCGAACTCTGTGTCTGCGGACAGCAAAAAAAACACGCACCGTGTATTTACGCAGTCTTCAAGAAAGTTTTTGTCGTCTTTTTGCGTTGAGTCAGTTCGTCAGGCCGCCGTCGCCAACGTCTCACCATCGACTCGCTGACGTCGAGTTCATGTGCAAGGCAAGGCAAGGCAAGTTTATTTGTACAGCACAATTCGTACACAAAGTAATTCAAAGTGCTTTACAGAATAAGAAATACATTAAAATCATAATAAAAACAAATCAAAACATAAATAATCATGAAGATTAAAATTAAAAAAGAGAGACATAAATTGGAGAGAAGAGTGCGGAATGAAAACCTTTCAGTTATTTGCACAGTTAAACAGAAATGTTTTAGAGTCTGGATTTAAACAGCGTCACAGAAGAGTCTGTCTCACATGTTCAGACTGTTCCAGGTTTTAGCTGCATGAACCTGAAACTCTGACTCCCCTTGTTTAGTCGTGACTCTGGGCACCAGCAGGAGGCCGGTCCCTGAGCTCCTCAGAGTGTGAGATGTTCATATGACACTAACATGTCACAGATGGACTTTGGTGCTCGGCCATGGAGACACTTGTACAAGCAGAGCTGCTTTAAAGTCTCTGAGCCACAGGAGCCAGAGCAGAGACCTGAGCACAGGACTTATGTGCTCGTACTTCCTAGTTCGAGTCAGGACCCGAGCTGCAGCATTCTGGATGTTCTGGATGTTCTGGATGTTCTGGATGTTCTGGATGTTCTGGATGTTCTGGATGTTCTGCAGCGTCTCACAGCTCGTTTGGAGAGACCAGTGAGCAGAACATTACAGTATCTAATCTACTGGAGACAAACGCATGGATAAGTTTCTCCAAGTCTGATTTAGACAGTAAACCTTTGATTTTTGCTCTGTTTTTTAGATGGTAAAAGGCTGCAGATGTTATTGATTTTATGTGACTGTTAAAGTTCAAGTCTGAGTCCATTATTACCCCGAGATTTCTTGCCTGATTTGAAGGTTTTAGAGCAAGAGACTGGAGGTGATGCTGACACTGTCCCTTTGTTTCTGTGGACCAAACACTATGACTTCAGTCTTGTCAGAGTTTAGCTGGAGAAAGTTGTTTTGCATCCACACACTGATCTGTTGGATGCAGTGACCAAGTGACTCCACTGGTCCATAGTCTCCTGCTGCCAGAGAGACGTAGATCTGAGTGTCGTCTGCATAATTGTGGTAGGACACGTTATTGCTGCTTATTAACTGGCCTAATGGCAGCATGTAGAGATTGAACAACAGGGGGCCCAGGATTGACCCCTGAGGCACCCCACAGGTCAGGGCCATGTCATCTGAGACACAGTTTCCAATTTCAACAAAATGTACAGAAGCTCTGTTTCAATCGCCGCTAACTTAAAATCTGTGTCATCTGCGTTTCTTCGTGTGTTTTCGTGAGGAGGGTGTGTGTATGATGCACAAAATAACTAGTGCTGTCAGGCGATTAAAAAAATTGAGAAATTAATTAATTACAGATCATAATTAATTAATCTAATTAATCTCTTTTTAATCTCACCTAAAAATTGCTGAGAAAAGCCTTCAACTTGAGGTATTTTCATTTAAATTCATTATTACATTATTATTATTACATATAAACCATGAACACTCTAGAGCCACATCAGCTCGTTTGAAATTATAATGTGTTTAATGCTGATTTGCGCAAATCTCACAGAAACGAAACTTAAAAACCGCATGTCTAATTTGCATAAACTAAGCGAGAAAAAAAAAAAAAAGCTCTTGTGTCGCTGATGCGGTTCAGCTTCTGTGGGACTGAAGGACTCGACTCAGTGGAATCTGAGTTTTCTGACAGAGTTGAAGGTGAAGGTGAGTCTGTTCTGTGTTTGTGTCGTGATGTTTTCAGACGTGTGCAGGTTTATCACAGATGCGTCGAGAACGAGAAAGAAAATCACAATTGTTTGCGGAAGCGATGTGTTATTGTCCCAACAACACATAAAAACAGATTTTATAATAAGGCAACTCGCATACAGAAACAGTAAAGTTAGAGATTAAAAATTAGATTAACGCGATTAAAAAACATAACGCGCTAAATATGACTGTAATTAATTCATCGCAATTAACGCGATCATTTGACACCCCTAAAAATAACAGTTCAAAACACAATCAAACGAGCATCTTCCTCCTCGTCTGTCCTCGCGCTCTACTGCTCATGTCTCCTGCAGAAAGAGTCTCTGTTCTGTCTGGATCGTGTCAGAGTCTCAGAGGATTTGAACAGATTTCAGACTCTCTCGGGGGCGGGGACAGGTGTTTGGATTCACGCACACGGGTAAAACGTGTCCCCCTCACTCATGTTTATTTAGCATCAGAATTTATTTTATCACGCGATGATAAACTGTTTTGGTGCACTGAAAATATCGCAAGGAAACGCCGCACCTTCATGTTCAGTCCTGGTTTAGTCCTGGTTTAATCCTTGGGTCAGTCCTGGTTTAGACCTGGTTCAGTCCTGGTTTAGTCCTGCTTTAGTCCTGGTTTAGACCTGGTTCAGTCCTGGTTTAGTCCTGTTTAGTCCTGGTTTTAGACCTGGTTCAGTCCTGGTTTAGTCCTTGGGTAGTCCTGGTTTAAACCTGGTTCAGTCCTGGATTAGTCCTGCTTTAGTCCTGGTTTAGTCCTGGTTTCAGTCCTGGTTTAGTCCTTGGGTCAGTCCTGGTTTAGACCTGGTTCAGTCCTGGATTAGTCCTGCTTTAGTCCTGGTTTAGTCCTTGGTTTAGTCCTGGTTTAGACCTGGTTTAGTCCTGGTTTAGTCCTGTTTAGTCCTGGTTTAGTCCTTGGTTTCAGTCCTGGTTTAGACCTGGTTTCAGTCCTGGTTTAGTCCTGTTTAGTCCTGGTTTTAGACCTGGTTTCAGTCCTGGTTTAGTCCTTAGGGTTTAGTCCTGGTTTAGACCTGGTTTAGTCCTGGTTTAGTCCTGGTTTTAGTCCTGGTTTAGTCCTGGTTTAGTCCTGGTTTAGACCTGGTTTCAGTCCTGGATTAGTCCTGCTTTAGTCCTGGTTTAATCCTTGGGTCAGTCCTGGTTTAGACCTGGTTCAGTCCTGGTTTAGTCCTGGTTTAGTCCTGGTTTAGACCTGGTTCAGTCCTGGTTTAGTCCTGCTTTAGTCCTGGTTTAGACCTGGTTCAGTCCTGGTTTAGTCCTTGGGTCAGTCCTGGTTTAGACCTGGTTCAGTCCTGGATTAGTCCTGTTTAGTCCTGGTTTAGTCTGGTTTAGTCCTGGTTTTAGTCCTTGGGTTTAGTCCTGGTTTAGACCTGGTTTCAGTCCTGGTTTAGTCCTGTTTAGTCCTGGTTTAGTCCTTGGTTTCAGTCTGGTTTAGACCTGGTTTAGTCCTGGTTTAGTCCTGGTTTAGTCCTGGTTTAGTCCTGGTTTAGTCCTGGTTTTAGACCTGGTTTTAGTCCTGGTTTTAGTCCTGGTTTAGTCCTGGTTTAGACCTGGTTTAGTCCTGGTTTAGTCCTGGGTTTCAGTCCTGGTTTAGACCTGGTTTTAGTCCTGGTTTAGTCCTGGTTTAGTCCTGGTTTAGTCCTTGGGTCAGTCCTGGTTTAGACCTGGTTCAGTCCTGGTTTAGTCCTGCTTTAGTCCTGGTTTAGTCCTTGGGTCAGTCCTGGTTTAGACCTGGTTCAGTCCTGGTTTAGTCCTGCTTTAGTCCTGGTTTAGTCCTTGGGTCAGTCCTGGTTTAGACCTGGTTCAGTCCTGGTTTAGTCCTGCTTTAGTCCTGGTTTAGTCCTTGGGTCAGTCCTGGTTTAGACCTGGTTCAGTCCTGGTTTAGTCCTTGGTTCAGTCCTGGTTTAGACCTGGTTTGGTCCTGGTTCAGTCCATATACATCGTGTAAAAGTTCTGCATCTTCGCCCCGGTTTTTGTTCAGAGTTAAAGTGCTGCAATAGTCGTGTAACGTTTTATATTTTAAACACTCTAATATTATAATGTAATGAATTAATTTGAAATGACAGAAACGAGTCATAAATAACAGACTGAAGTTTTGAAGTAACACAACAGTGATTATAAAGTGGTACAACTAAGAATATATATATAAAAAAACACACTCACTGTCTATGTTTTTGGGCACGTCTCCGAATATGGTGAGGTAGGGCTCGTACACGGCCCCTCTCAGGATCCAGCCCAGACGGTCCTCGTTGTGGATGAGGATGCTCTGCTTGGCCACGCCGTAGGCCACCACCCAGATACTCAGGAGGAACAGGAAGAAGAACATGTCCATCATCTGCAGGACAAAGGTCAGGAGAAGCAGAAGCAGGTGAGTCTCCATAACTTTCAGAACACAGACTGTATAAAGAAGTGAACCACGGGAGTGTGACTTCACCGAAAAGGAATGTATGGACCAAAGAGTGAAATAAAAACACCAGGATCACGTAGAGCGGGTTGATGCGGACATTGAGTGTGTCACATGCACATCAATAACCCGGTTATGATCCATGTCCCGGTTCTGTCAGTGTTCGTGTTACTGTGTTTACATGAGCACTGAGAAACCGGGACACTCATATCCACGTGTACATGATCAAATGGAGTGTCCCGGTTTCTTGACATAATCTTACAAATGCGCAGGCGCAAAAATGAACTTAAATAAACCAGGAAAAATACAAACCGTGAGCTCCTTTAGCATAAGAAGCTAAGGAGCTACGAGATCTCCCACAATCCACTTTGCAGATTCTTCATTCAAATCTTCTGCATAAATAAACTCAACTTTACAACATATAAACCATAAACACTATAGACACATCAGCCCGTTTGATCAGATCATTCAGCTCTGATCACATTTGTTTATGTTTTACAGAAACGAAACTTAAGACCGTTTGGCTAATTAGCATAAACTGTTAGCGGCGATAAAAACAACTCGCTCCTTGCGCCGCTGATGCGATCAGTTTCTTTTGGACTAAATGACACGACTCTGTGGATTATGTGTGTTATTTCTGTGACAGAAGAGGTGCTGATGATGGTGAGTGTGTTCTGTGCGTATAGAGTATAGGAGATAGTTCATGTTTTAGCTTTTCAGCGTCACACGAGTGCAGGTCGTACGAGTGCAGGTTTAGCGCAGCTCTTAATTTTACAGTAATTTCACTCGTTTGGTCACTTTATTTATGTTGGTCAATTTATTTATGTGACTACTGTTGTGTTGAGAGGCTGGAAAGTGTCTTTTGGACGCATGCGCACTCAACTTTATGTTGCAGTAACCGGGGTGCGTTTACATGCCACAGTATCCCGGTTATTATCGGAATAACCCAGCTACAGTAACTCGATTTCTAATAACCGGGATACTGCCATAACCGGGTTACTGAAACCGGGTTACTGCGTTTACATGCACCATGAAGAAACCGGGATACTCAAAAAACCCGGGTTATTGATGTGCATGTAAACACACTCATTTAAGACCAAAAAGACGAGGCTCACAGCAGCAGGTACAGCGAGAGGGACGACCGTTTTTCAAAGTAAAATCATTTGGAATCGAAGGAGCCGGAAGTGCTCCCTTGTTCACTTCCTATTCCTACCGGTCAAAAGTTTTAGAGCACCCTAATTTTTCCAGTTATTTATTGCACTTCAAGTCGTGGAAGTCCAATGAAGAGCTCGAAATGGTACAAAGGTAAAAACTGAACAGAGGTTTAAAAAAAAAGATAAAAGATACAAAACGACAAAAAAGTCCAAGTTCTGCCAAAACGACCTCAGGAAAAAAGAACAAGATGCTAAAACTTGAAAACCTGGAGTGTCCAGCAGCACAGTGTCCAGATTTAAACCCCATCGAGCTGAAGACTGAAGAGTGAAGCAACCTACAAGTGCCACACATTTATGGAAACTTCTGCGACAGATTTGGGAAGAACTTTCTGAAAAATATTTGATTTCTGTTGTAAAAAGAACGAGCCACGAGTGTGTTCAGCTGTTCTGTCTGACAAAGGTTGACGCTTTCATCGATCAAAAGTTTAGAAAATGTTTTGGTCGACAGTAAACGGTAAAAAAAGGGAAAAAGTGTGGTGTTCTAAAACTTTTGACCGGTAGTGTCTGTCCATTCACATATACAGTCTATGATTCAGATATGTTTACATTATTTTAAGGTTCCACTTGGTTCATGCTGAATGTGGTTCTATTTTCTGAGCATAAAAGGTGATGCAGGTCATTGTCCACAAACAAAGGTCAGACTCGTCCATCTCTTTTTAAGGCAAAAACGAAGTCATCTGTCTGAGGACTATGGAAATCAAGAGGTTTAGATGAAAATCACCACATGATACTTTGCTTCAGAGGCACCACACCAGAAAGGACGACTGGAGAAAGAGATCAACTGACCTCAGGAAGTTATTTATAGACGGATGGAGCTCATGGATGGGATTTCACAGTTTAACGTAATTGGCAAAGGAGAAATTCAATACATGCATTGCAAATTTCGAAGTTCTGGTCATCAAACAATCCATACTGGGAAGGATCCTCCGAAAAAGTGAGCATCAAATCACCATGTTTGATTTCCCAGTGGGTATTGACAAACCCGATCTTTTCAAGTCTTTTGAACCATATCACTTTTGTTTCTGGTTCTGATATTGGCTACAGCTTTTGTTCTCTTGTTTGTTTTGATTTACGTTTGAGGATGGAGTTGTAAAAAGGAGACAGATGGTGTCTGAGTCTCCATTTCTGTTTAGAGAAGGATTCTCTTTCTTGACAAAAATAGCTTCTTTAAATCGCCTTTCAACCCATTCTTTTCTCTGGCTCAGATCTGTTCCTCACTGTCCACAAAGAAGTGGCCCGAGGCTTTTAGGTGGAGATGGACAGCAGACTGAGGTCCTGTGTTGCTCTCTCGTCTGTGTTGGTAAATCAAAACAAAGACGAGAACAATAGCGGTAGCCAGGTCAGGTTCAGAAGTGTGAATGCTCCATTATGGCCCTGAATGTTTCTGCTAATATGACCCAGAACTGAAGAAGCAGCTTAGATTAACTACAAAACGTATTCGACCAAATAAACTTTGTCCAGTCGACAAATTGAATTTCTCCTTGGCCATGGATTCTACCTGGACGACTGAAGGATTTTTCACACATCTTTAATGTAATTGTTCATTCTTCCAGGAGAGGTTTATGGCTCTTGTTCATGTTGTTTACTACATTTGAAACCTTCACTGCAGTATGTTATTCAGTTCTTTTTACGGACCAAGAGTTTGTTTTCATACCTGACAGTTTCGACTGCTCACTAGCGCTCTTCCTCAGAGTCACAGTCCTGTAGTCCGACTTCTTCAGGACAGTATCCCAGTTATGTGAGAGTAAAAAAGCCCCTCGTCCACGGAACTATAAACCAGGACGCGGGGGTATGAAAACAAACTCTTGGTCCGTAAAAAGTAACCTAATAACATAAAATATCGGAAGACCAAATTAATCTTATTAGGACCTTCGCTCCAGTGTTCGTGGTTTGTCTGACACTTCTCAGATTCTGGAGTCATGACTCAGACACAAACCACATTCAGTCTGAACCAGGCATCACACAGCAGAGTCTCTCCTCACCATCCTTTTCACAATAATGATCTTTGGTCCCAGAGTTCGGCTGATTGTGAAGATGGCCATGAGACGCAGACAAAACACAATGAAGTCGATACACAGAAGAATTTTTCCAGCATAAAACAGAGCCTGTGTTAACCTAAATGGAAAAACGCATTTTCAGTTATCAAAATCATGGAAATACAAACAAATGTGCCTGATACTTCATTAAAACCCTGTGAAACCCACCTGAACACCAGACCAATGATGAAAATGACGATGGACAAAACATCCAGTATATTCCACAAGTCGTTGATGTACATTTTGAACTTTTTCCGAAACCCAAACCCGTCAGGATCATCGAACAGCTGGGAATATTAAACAAGAGGAACAGAGTTTGATTACCTACGGGAAAATGAATATAAATCATACTTCAGAGAAAATTATTAGAGTCAACGAGAGGAAAGTTTGAGATTTTTGAGTAAGTAAAAGCAAAATAAAAACACAGTATGAACAGGAAGGGGCTCAGCACACATCCTTGAAGGACACTGGATTAACTGTGATGGTGCTGGATGTGTGGAAGTGGACATGGCATCATCAATCAAACAATACATGCATCACGAGTTTTGGACTTTCGGTCATCGCACAATTCATACTGTTAAGGATCCTCCGAAGAAGTGAGCATCAAACCTCCTTGTTTGTTTTCCCAGTGGGATGCGGCTATTTTCAAGTCTTTTGAACCATATCACTTTTGTTTCTGGTTCTGATATTGTCATATTTTAGTTTTGGGATTCGGACATCGTAATTGTAAATGTTTGCGAACTCCATAACTGCGAAAGTGAATCAGATGTCTGTGACTGCAAACCTCCGTTCAAACTGTTTCTCTTCCCAGCGGAATTGAAAAATAATGAAAGGTGAAGGTGATGGGCAGGATTGATCCACAGGAAGAACCAAAAAGGAAACATTTGACTGACTAAATCATCCTGAGTTTACAGAGAACATTTTGTATGTGGAGCGACAACAAAACAAAATCCTGATCCCTCGCTCAACCTCGGTTATGAATTTAAAAAGTCAACGCCAAAGCGAAAGGCTCCAACTGTTCACCAAGAAACACCTTCCACTGCAAATAGACCAAGATGTGATGTTGATGTAAAACCACAAGAACAAGAAAGTACAGCTCAGTCTGTTTGTCTTCTGCTCCTCTCCATTAACAAACGGGATTTTGCTTTGTTGTCGCTCCACATACAAAATGTTCTCTGCAAACTCTGGATGATTTCTTAGGCAGACAAATGTTTTCTTTTTGGTTCTTCCTGTGGATCAATCCTGCCCATCACCTTCACCTTTCACTATTTTTCAATTCCGTTGGGAAGAGAAACAGTTTGAACAGAGGTTTGAGTCACACACATCTGATTCACTTTTGCATTTATGGAGTTCGCAAACTTCCGAAGTCTAATTCCCGCTGTTAGGATCCAACAACCACACAATTAACGATGTCCGAATCCCAAAACTAAAACATGACAATATCAGAACCAGAAACAAAAGTGATATGGTTCAAAAGACTTGAAAAGATCGACTTTGACAATAGACACGTCCCACTGGGAAAACAAACATGGAGGTTTGATGCTCACTTTTTCAGAAAATCCTTCTCTGTAGGCATTGCGCGATGACCGGAAGTCCGAAATTTGTGATGCATGTATTGAACCAAACTGGACAGATGTTCAGACACCGATTGAGAACAAACTTACGCATAAAAGCATGGTGAAAAATAAAGGAGTTAATATGAATGAATATAAAAGCTTTGTATGTTATAAATGACTTTGGAAGATCAAACCTGCTCGAAGTGGTCTCACCTGTCGGATCTCTTCACAGACCAGCGAGAAGAGCCAGACGTACAGCAGGATCTCCAGACCTGAGGGCGTGGTATGGAAGTCCACCATCAGCACCGCGGCAAACAGGGCCAGGAAGGCAAAGTAAGACACGATGTTCATGAAGAACTTGACCTGAGGAGAGGAGTACAGAGAAACCAGGCGAGTCCACGCGTCCAGGGGCTGCACCTCCTGAGAAGACTCACTGAGGACACAAGGAACGATTTAACAACACAGTAGAGGATCGTTACCAGTCAAAAGAGAAAGTGTAAAAGGTACGGACAATCCTTTCGGCTTCATGTGCGTGACACTTGCTATGGTCGAGTTCTCCATCTCTTTCCTCTCAGCTTCATCTTTTCTGTGGAAACCAGACAGGAGAAACCTTTACTAGTCCAAACATCAAAACAGCGGAGTACAAGAACAGCAGTATTGATGGAACTCCATAGAAATGTCTCAACGACGGTCCAGAAATGTTGCAACAGATGCGTCATAAACACATCCTGAGCTCTACATTTTGCTCTTCCTCTCCTCAAACTATCCTGATTCACCAGCCGGTTTTCCTTCGTTTCACTTCCTACAAACCGTCTGTCCTCGTAGCCTTAGAATTCATTCGCTTGACGGAAGGCGGGTACTTTTTATCATTTAAACAATCGCAGCTATTTGGTCGTGATGTATGTAATGCTCCACTAACGGGGATAACTGGTATATTAAGCTTTTCCCAAATCTTGTAGCAAGAAGAACAATAACGTCTTTCCCCTTGATAAAATTCACCAAACATTCTCTTTGTTCCGGCTTTAAATCCTCGATCTCGGGAATCGTTGCCAACACAGAATGTCTGGCTCTTTGGTGATTGGCTGGTGCCCGAACTCGCACTTCAGGAGTTTTTACAAACCGTCTAGTGCGGGGTTGGGCAAACTACGAGATATAAGGCTGCACTGCTTCCATTTTCAGTTGGTAAAAATCAAAGACTAAGATTACATAGATGTTGTGTTATCATTTTTAACACATGGAACATCTTGAGAGTCCCGTTGCACGCATAGGTGTGTATGTGCATCACTTTGTGGCGTGGGCTTTATTTCTCAAAATAAACAGATCGCCCACAATTCACCTTCGCCTGTGGTATGCACTGAAGCAGATCTGTTAACTTTTCATGTGTTCTGAATTTTTCGTGGCAGTGTTGTAGTATGCAGTGCGCTTCCTACATAAGCGGAAAAACAAATACAATGCAGCCGAGCTCTTAAAGGTTGTATAGAGGATTTTTTTAAGGAAAGAGAAATACAGCGACAGTCCTTTTTCAAATGTTGCGCATGCGTGACACCACCTCCCTCCTCCACAGCTCCTCAGTAGAAACACCTCCTCCAGCCTCTTTATTCTAGAAATCACACTCATTTACAGACAGTGCGCGTTCAGAATTACTGATGAAGTGACCTGTCTAGAAATAATTTAGCGATAATCTGCTTCAGTCGCGCCATCGCTGGAAGAAATCTCCAAGAATCACCTCAGTTTGTCTTCGCTCCTTTTCTCCTTCTCTTCTTGTTTCAGCGACCTCAAAAACGGACTTTCATTTGGGGCCAACTGGTCGTGGATTCTCGTCCGACATCGCGACAAACTTTGCGCGATTTGTGAGGAAGCGACAGTTTGAAAAAGCCTCTAAGAACCGCTGCATAAACCACGTAATCCCCGCCGCAAATCAGTTACAGTAGAAACGTAGGGAGTTTGATTGACAACCTATCAGCCAATAGAAAATGAGGCAGCCTCGTTTTCTATTGGCTGATGTTTATCTGGCCTCACTACGTCCACAGTTGATAGATTTTCATTCTTTTTTTTTTTTTTTTTGATCATAATTACAAGGCTGCTGCATCTCTGTAATGGTATTTTAAACTTTCACTGACAATTTGAAACAAAAAAAAAAATCCTCCATACAACCTTTAACACGTCTTGTCCTGTGTTCTGTCCGGCCCTTCAGTCAAATTTTAGGACCCTATGTGGCCCGTGAGCCAGAAACTTTGCCCACCCCTGGTCTAGTGTTTTCTGATTCCTGATCTAGTCACTGGAGAGAAATGAAATTGAGCGGAGGCACTAGGCGGCACCAGCCTGGTTATCCTCAAACTGCCCTCACACAGATTCTCCTGACCCTCCCTTCTTATATTCTATTTTTGTCTCATTAATATTCATAAAAGCTCAGAGGATCTACAAATAGTCATTGGTTTGTACATGTATTTTGAGATCCACAAACGAAAATTTTATATCTGCAACTTGTGTTTTGGTCTTTACAAATAGATGTGTTTTTGTAAATAAATCTGTTTTCATTTGTTAAAAATGTATATATATATTTGTAAAACTGAAAATTCAGTTCATAAAATGTGATTTGCATTTGTGGATCACCAATTACACAAATTCACAGATTTCTTTTTTGACGTATTTTTGAGATATTCTTTTTGAAAATGCAGATGGATCCACAAACAGCCAATTCACATACACAGGCGTCCACTAGAGGGCAGTGTTGTTATACTTGATCTTATGTTGGCAAGAGACTATGAAGTCTGCAAACACAATTATTTCATAACAACACATCATAATTAATAATCAATAAGGAACTGGCCTTGTAGATAATTCATTAATGTTCCATCGGTATGTCTGTGTGGTATGAGATGGATAGGTAACATTAAAGGTTGTATGGAGGATTTTTTTTTGTTTCAAATTGTCATCAAAAGTTTAAAATACCATTAGAGAGACGCAGCAGCCTTGTAATTACGATGAAAAAAACAAAAAAAAAGAAAATCTATCAACTGTGGATGTAGTGAGGCCAGATAAACATCAGCCAATAGAAAACGAGGCTGCCTCTTTATCTATTGGCTGTTAGGTCGTCAATCAAACTCCCTACGTTTCTAGTGTAACTGACTCGCGCGGGGATTACGTGGTTTATGCAGCGGTTCTTAGAGGCTTTTTCAAACTGTCGCTTCCTCACAAATCGCACAAAGTTTGTCGCGATGTCGCACGAGAATCCACGACCAGTTCGCCGCCAAAGAAAGTCCGTTTTTGAGGTCGCTGAAAGAAGAAGAGAAGGGGAAAAGGAGCGAAGACAAACTGAGGTGATTCTTGGAGATTCCTTCCAGCGATGGCGCGAATGAAGCAGACGAAGAGTCTAAAAACTAAAGACGCGTCGGTCGCTAAATTATTTCTAGACAGGTCACTTCAACGGTAATTCTGAACACGCACTGGATGTAAACAAGCGTGATTTCTAGAGTAAAGAGGCGGGAGGAGGTGTTTCTACTGAGGGAAGGTGGTTTCACGCATGCGCAACATTTGAAAAAGGACTGTCGCTGTATTTCACTTCCCTTAAAAAGTCCTCTATACAACCTTTAATGAATTGTCTACAAGGCCAATTCCTCATCGATTATTAATTATGATGTGTTGTTATGAAATAATTAACATATTTTTCAGATTATAAGGTGCACTCAAAATCCTTTAATTTTCTTCTTTCTGCCACTGGACTTAGATGTTCTAGTTTCATCCAAACGTACCTAAAGTCGAGGAAGTGCAGGTAGATGAGAGGGAAGAACAGAGTGCACAGCAGGACTCTCCACAACGGGTTTTCCACTGACAGCGTCCCACACCAGATCTGAGTCAGAAGAGCCTGGACACAGACAAGACGGAAAAGGAAAGTCAAAACAAACCTGACACGTTTGGGTAAAGCTCAAGGCCTGTTCAGACCACGACGTCGAGGTGTCCACTTTAAAGCAGAGTCTATGTGGAAGCGAGTCTTGAGCGTCCGGCGTTTTTGTGGCGCATCTCGGGGCGTCAGCGGCACGAATCCAGCGTAGACGTGGCAGGTCTTGAGCCTTCAGGTGTCGTCATCGTCAGAAGTTTAACTTAAAGGCAAAGGCGTCCAAATTGCGGCGACCAGGACATTTTTTGATGCCACAGTCTGAACGAACCGTCACACATCACAGTATATTATAACAAAGGGGGGAAATGTAATAATACGTTTTAAATAAGTCGCAAAAATTACTTCTTACATAAGGGTGAGTTGTTGCACAGTTGTAGGGAGTATTATCTGAGTTGTTTTACAGTTGTAGGGAGTATTATCTGAGTGGTTTTACAGTTGTAGGGAGTATTATAGGTTACATAAGTGTGAGTTGTTGTACAGTTGTAGGGAGTATTATCTGTTACATAAGGTTGAGTTGTTTTACAGTTGTAGGGAGTATTATCTGAGTTGTTGTACAGTTGTAGGGAGTATTATCTGAGTTGTTGTACAGTTGTAGGGAGTATTATCTGAGTTGTTGTACAGTTGTAGGGAGTATTATCTGAGTTGTTGTACAGTTGTAGGGAGTATTATGTTACATAAGTGTGAGTTGTTGTACAGTTGTAGGGAGTATTATCTGTTACATAAGGGTGAGTTGTTGTACAGTTGTAGGGAGTATTATCTGAGTTGTTGTACAGTTGTAGGGAGTATTATCTGAGTTGTTTTACAGTTGTAGGGAGTATTATCTGTTACATAAGGGTGAGTTGTTGTACAGTTGTAGGGAGTATTATTGAGTTGTTTACAGTTGTAGGGAGTATTATCTGAGTGGTTTTACAGTTGTAGGGAGTATTATAGGTTACATAAGTGTGAGTTGTTGTACAGTTGTAGGGAGTATTATCTGAGTTGTTGTACAGTTGTAGGGAGTATTATCTGAGTTGTTGTACAGTTGTAGGGAGTATTATCTGAGTGTTTTACAGTTGTAGGGAGTATTATCTGTTACATCAGGGTGAGTTGTTTTACAGTTGTAGGGAGTATTATCTGAGTTGTTGTACAGTTGTAGGGAGTATTATCTGAGTTGTTGTACAGTTGTAGGGAGTATTATCTCAGTTGTTGTACAGTTGTAGGGAGTATTATCTGAGTTGTTGTACAGTTGTAGGGAGTATTATCTGTTACATAAGGGTGAGTTGTTGTACAGTTGTAGGGAGTATTATCTGTTACATCAGGGTGAGTTGTTGTACAGTTGTAGGGAGTATTATCTCAGTTGTACAGTTGTAGGGAGTATTATCTTACATAAGGTGAGTTGTTGTACAGTTGTAGGGAGTATTATCTGAGTTGTTGTACAGTTGTAGGGAGTATTATCTGTTACATAAGGGTGAGTTGTTGTACAGTTGTAGGGAGTATTATCTGAGTTGTTGTACAGTTGTAGGGAGTATTATCTGTTACATAAGGGTGAGTTGTTGTACAGTTGTAGGGAGTATTATCTGAGTTGTTGTACAGTTGTAGGGAGTATTATCTGTTACATAAGGGTGAGTTGTTGTACAGTTGTAGGGAGTATTATCTCAGTTGTTGTACAGTTGTAGGGAGTATTATCTGTTACATAAGGGTGAGTTGTTGTACAGTTGTAGGGAGTATTATCTGAGTTGTTGTACAGTTGTAGGGAGTATTATCTGTTACATAAGGGTGAGTTGTTGTACAGTTGTAGGGAGTATTATCTGTTGTACAGTTGTAGGAGTATTATTGTGTACAGTTGTAGGGAGTATTATCTGAGTTGTTGTACAGTTGTAGGGAGTATGTACAGTTGTAGGAGTATTATCTGTTACATAGGGTGTTGTACAGTTGTAGGGAGTATTATCTCAGTTGTACAGTTGTAGGGAGTATTATCTTGTTGTACAGTTGTAGGGAGTATTATCTGTTACATAAGGGTGAGTTGTTGTACAGTTGTAGGGAGTATTATCTGTTACATAAGGGTGAGTTGTTGTACAGTTGTAGGGAGTATTATCTGTTACATAAGGGTGAGTTGTTGTACAGTTGTAGGGAGTATTATCTGAGTTGTTGTACAGTTGTAGGGAGTATTATCTGAGTTGTTGTACAGTTGTAGGGAGTATTATCTGTTACATAAGGGTGAGTTGTTGTACAGTTGTAGGGAGTATTATCTGTTACATAAGGGTGAGTTGTTGTACAGTTGTAGGGAGTATTATCTGAGTTGTTGTACAGTTGTAGGGAGTATTATCTGTTACATAAGGGTGAGTTGTTGTACAGTTGTAGGGAGTATTATCTGTTACATAAGGGTGAGTTGTTGTACAGTTGTAGGGAGTATTATCTGTGTACAGTTGTAGGGAGTGAGTTGTTGTACAGTTGTAGGGAGTATTATCTGTTACATAAGGGTGAGTTGTTGTACAGTTGTAGGGAGTATTATCTGTTACATTGAGTTGTTGTACAGTTGTAGGGAGTTGTTGTACAGTTGTAGGGAGTATTATCTGTTACATAAGGGTGAGTTGTTGTACAGTTGTAGGGAGTATTATCTGTTACATAAGGTGAGTTGTTGTACAGTTGTAGGGAGTATTATCTGTTACATAAGGGTGAGTTGTTGTACAGTTGTAGGGAGTATTATCTGTTACATAAGGGTGAGTTGTTGTACAGTTGTAGGGAGTATTATCTGTTACATAAGGGTGAGTTGTTGTACAGTTGTAGGGAGTATTATCTGTTACATAAGGGTGAGTTGTTGTACAGTTGTAGGGAGTATTATCTGTTACATAAGGTGAGTTGTTGTACAGTTTGTAGGGAGTATTATCTGTTACATAAGGGTGAGTTGTTGTACAGTTGTAGGGAGTATTATCTGTTACATAAGGGTGAGTTGTTGTACAGTTGTAGGGAGTATTATCTGTTTACATAAGGGTGAGTTTGTTGTACAGTTGTAGGGAGTATTATAGTTGTTGTACAGTTGTAGGGAGTATTATCTGTTTACATAAGGGTGAGTTGTTGTACAGTTGTAGGAGTTGTACAGTTGTAGGGAGTATTATCTGTTACATAAGGGTGAGTTGTTGTACAGTTGTAGGAGTATTATCTGTTACATAAGTGAGTTGTTGTACAGTTGTAGGGAGTATTATCTACAGTTGTTGTACAGTTGTAGGGAGTATTATCTACAGTGTTGTACAGTTGTAGGGAGTATTAATCTGAGTTGTTGTACAGTTGTAGGGAGTATTATCTGTTACATAAGGGTGAGTTGTTGTACAGTTGTAGGGAGTATTATCTGTTACATAAGGGTGAGTTGTTGTACAGTTGTAGGGAGTATTATCTGTTACATAAGGGTGAGTTGTTGTACAGTTGTAGGGAGTATTATCTGTTACATAAGGGTGAGTTGTTGTACAGTTGTAGGGAGTATTATCCGTTACATAAGGTGAGTTGTTGTACAGTTGTAGGAGTATTATCTGTTACATAAGGGTGAGTTGTTGTACAGTTGTAGGGAGTATTATCTGTTACATAAGGTGAGTTGTTGTACAGTTGTAGGGAGTATTATCTGTTACATAAGGGTGAGTTGTTGTACAGTTGTAGGGAGTATTATCTGTTTACATAAGGTGAGTTGTTGTACAGTTGTAGGGAGTATTATCTGAAGGTGAGTTGTTTGTACAGTTGTAGGGAGTATTATCTGTTACATAAGGGTGAGTTGTACAGTTGTAGGGAGTATTATTGTTGTACAGTTGTAGGGAGTATTATCTGTTACATAAGGGTGAGTTGTTGTACAGTTGTAGGGAGTATTATCTGTTACATAAGGTGAGTTGTAGGGAGTATTATCTGTTACATAAGGGTGAGTTGTTGTACAGTTGTAGGGAGTATTATCTGTTACATAAGGTGAGTTGTTGTACAGTTGTAGGGAGTATTATCTGTTACATAAGGGTGAGTTGTTGTACAGTTGTAGGGAGTATTATCTGTTACATAAGGTGAGTTGTTGTACAGTTGTAGGGAGTATTATCTGTTACATAAGGGTGAGTTGTTGTACAGTTGTAGGGAGTATTATCTGTTACATAAGGGTGAGTTGTTGTACAGTTGTAGGGAGTATTATCTGTTACATAAGGGTGAGTTGTTGTACAGTTGTAGGGAGTAGTACATTAGTTGTTGTACAGTTGTAGGGAGTATTATCTGTTACATAAGGGTGAGTTGTTGTACAGTTGTAGGGAGTATTATCTGTTACATCAGGGTGAGTTGTTGTACAGTTGTAGGGAGTATTATCTGTTACATGAGTGTTGTACAGTTGTAGGGAGTATTATCTGTTACATAAGGTGAGTTGTACAGTTGTGAGTTGTTGTACAGTTGTAGGAGTATTATCTGTTACATAAGGGTGAGTTGTTGTACAGTTGTAGGGAGTATTATCTGTTACATAAGGTGAGTTGTTGTACAGTTGTAGGGAGTATTATCTGTTACATAAGGTGATTGTACAGTTGTAGGAGTATTATCTGAGTGTTTGTACAGTTGTAGGGAGTATTATCTGTTACATAAGGTGAGTTGTTGTACAGTTGTAGGAGTATTATGTACAGTTGTAGGGAGTATTATGTTACATAAGGTGAGTTGTTGTACAGTTGTAGGGAGTATTATCACGTCGTCCATAAATACCTGAACGCCGGACTGAGCCACAAAGTTCTGGTCGTCGGCCTCGAGCGCGACCCTCAGACACGTGGTCCGGCCCCACAGCGGCGACACTCGCACCAGCAGCTTCTGAGCTCGCGCCTCGTCACCGCGGTAACACTCGCTGAAGACGTCTGCGGGTCAGAGGAACATCAAAACAAACAAGAACAATCAGAGAAATCAACCTGGTCCCCATGAACAGTGCTGGGAAGTTTACTTTTAAAATGTAATCCCCTACAGATTACAGATTACACACACCAAGATGTAGTTTGTAACGTAATCCATTAAATTACTTAAAGTGAGTCATGTAATCTGAGTACTTTGGATTACTTGATTTGCTGTAGAGAAGCAAAGACGAGGAAATCTTCACATGAGAAGTTTTGTCTGATAAAAGAAAATAAAAAACCCAGATTTTACGGAACCAAATTAAAAATATTATTGACAGAAGACGAGGAGACATGATTTAGTCCTGTTAAATCCTGTTTGAGACATAGTTTAGACCTGGTTTAGATTGGTTTAGTCCTGGTTTAGACCTGGTTTAGACCTGGTTTAGACCTGGTTTAATCCTGGTTTAGATCTGGTTTAGTCTTGGTTTTAGACCTGGTTTAGACCTGGTTTAATCCTGGTTTAGATCTGGTTTAGTCTTGGTTTTAGACCTGGTTTAGACCTGGTTTAATCCTGGTTTAGATCTGGTTTAGTCTTGGTTTTAGACCTGGTTTAGACCTGGTTTAATCCTGGTTTAGTCCTGGTTTAGTCTTGGTTTTAGACCTGGTTTAATCCTGGTTTAGATCTGGTTTAGTCTTGGTTTTAGACCTGGTTTAGACCTGGTTTAATCCTGGTTTAGTCCTGGTTTAGTCTTGGTTTTAGACCTGGTTTAGACCTGGTTTGGACCTGGTTTAATCCTGGTTTAGATCTGGTTTAGTCTTGGTTTTAGACCTGGTTTAGACCTGGTTTAATCCTGGTTTAGATCTGGTTTAGTCTTGGTTTTAGACCTGGTTTAATCCTGGTTTAGTCCTGGTTTAGTCTTGGTTTTAGACCTGGTTTAGACCTGGTTTAGACCTGGTTTAATCCTGGTTTAGATCTGGTTTAGTCTTGGTTTTAGTCCTGGTTTGGACCTGGTTTGGACCTGGTTTAGTCCTGGTTTAGGCCTAGTTTAAACCTAGTTTAGATCGGGTTTTAGACCTGGTTTAGTGTCCGGCAATGAGTGGAATTACCAAAAAAAATTAAAAAATAAAAACATTTAAAAAAGGGATATAGTCCAAAATGTGAAAACAGTAAAATCCCTCTGTGTAATCCATTTATTTCAACAAAGTAACTGTAATCCAATTACCACTCACTGAAACAGTAACTGTAACTGAATACAGTTACTCATAATTTGTACTCTGATTACTCTGGTACATGTAATCTGTTACTCCTGACACTGGTCCTGAGGCGTCGGTGGGTCAGAACATTAGTGTGATGTTGGTCACACATGAGAACGTCTGTGTTTACTCGTGTGGAACCAACATGTCATTGTTCATGTGTGTGTGTGTTCGTTGTGTGACTGTAGATCAGTGTGTCGTGTATCACCAGAAAAACAAGAAATGGAAATTATTTTTGTTCCAATTAGAATTTTAACGGCTACACTGAAAGAGAAAGGAACTGTTATAATTAGTGATTATCTGGAAAAACTATTCATATTTGACGATACAAATGCATAGAATTATAAATAGATCATAATTTTTCTGAGATTTTGAGACACTCCCGTCGCTCGAGCTCCATCCTTCGCGGAGTTATGACCAAAAACACATATTTGACCTTGGTTACTTTGACCTTCAAGTGACCTTGACCAGTTTCAACCTGTAACATCCAGTGTGCCCCGGTCATGTGTGCGCCAACGTGTGTGACGATTGGGTGAATATTTTAGGCCGCAGATGGTTCAGAATTTGGCGAAATTGACGATCCTTTATAATGGCATGACCTTTCAATTGACCTTGGATCCTCACCAAACTTTTTTTTGCGGCGTCGAGCACGGGGGCTTGACCCACGTACCAAATCTGGTGACAATCGGTCCATAAATGGCGGAATTATTGCAGGTGGACACACACAGATACACAGGGTGAATACAAAACCTGGTCAACCCTTCAGGGACCAGGTAATAAATACATAAGGCGCACTGTCGATTTTTGAGAAAATTAAAGGATTTTAAGTGCGCTTTATAGTCCAAAACTTACGGTAATTTAAAGCTCACCAGAGTCAGTTTCATGTAAAACAGGAGCTTTAAATGCACATGTGTGGTGGTTCTTACCCATGGCACGTTTCTCGTACAGATTGGCGAGCTCTTTCATTTTCTCTGCTTCATCTGCGTCGTTGTCCTCCTTTGACAGTTTCTTCAGGATCTTACTGGCGGCCAGCGCAGCAGCCATGCAGTCCTGACACTGGGATGGAGAAAACACTCAGACTGTGCTTGTTGTTGAAGTTCATTCATAAAACCCTCTCAGAGTCGTGATCACCTCCTCCCAGGCGATTTCGGCCAGAGCTTTGTTGCTGTGGAGAATGGCCCAGAGGAACAGGTCTCTCTCTGAGTGTGGGTTCTTCTCTGGTTCCTCTCTGAAGGTGCTCTGAGATTCCAGAGTTCTGGAGACCTGCAGGTGAGACAAAGAGTCAGAATGTTGTTACCTCCTCCAAAACAGACCTGGACTTGTGTTTTGTTTCATTCACATGTTCGAGAAACTCTTTATTATTAGTCTGTCTACATTTCCAAACAATGCGCTCATGGTCCTGTTTAGTTGTTTGATTTTCAGCAAAAAGGTGAGACTTGTTTAAAGGTGTATTGTGTAACTTTTCTGGTGGAGCGACCATCAAACGCTTTTCTCCGTGGAGATGTTATTGCTTTTTCACAGTATGATATTAAACCTTTCTATCGTCATGGAGACCAAACCTACAGAAGCCCTGAGCGGCAAGCAAAAAAAAAAAAAAAAAAAAAAAAAAAAAGAGGGACACCATTTGGGCTCAAGTTTTTTTTTTTTTTTTTTTTTTTTGCACCAATAACAAAAAAAAAAAAAAAAAAAAAAAAGTTTTTGTCTCTTTTTTTTTTTTTTTTGCACAAACAGCTAATAAATGTAATTATTTATTTTATATTTTTTTACTGTTGATGTAGCCGAGGAAAAAACAAATCTTGCATTTATTATGACTTTTTTTTTGCACAACAACAACAACAAAAAAAAATTCTCAACAGTTTTTTTTTTTTTTTTTTTTTTTTGCACTAACAGATAAAAAAATATTATTTATTTTATATTTTGTTTGCTGTTGAAGTGGCAGAGGGAAAACAATCTAGCTTTTTTTTTTATTGCACCACCAACAACAGCAAAAAACTTTTTTTTTTTTTTTTTTGCACAAAGAGCTAAAAAAAAGTCATTATTTATTTTATACTTTTTACTGTTATGTAGCCAAAGAAAAAAAAATCTTGCATTTATTTTTTTGCATAAACCAAAAAAAAAATGTTTCTGGTTCTTTTTTTTTTATATATATATATATATATATATATATATATATATATATATATATATATATATATTTTTTATATTATATATATTATATATATATATAATATTTATTTTATATTTTTTACTGTTGATGTGGCCAAGGGGAAAAAAAATATCTAAAACTAGAAAAGCAGTCAGAGAGCGCAGACCTCCACCAAGGACTACCCCCATTTTTTATATAAATTGTGATAAAATCAGTCTTCTGGATCAGATCCGGATCAGCCTTTGGAATATGAAAGAGGATCCCATTGTCCATCCCTGAGTCAAATTTCATGGGGTTTTGGTCAATAATTAACCCAGATATTGAGAAACAAAATTTTGGCCCCATTTACCACAATGTTAACTAAAATTTCAAAGTGATCCAGAATCCAGGATTTCTTCCGGATCAGCCCCAAAATGAAATCAGTTCTTCCTTTTCACATTTCCAACAAATCCTGAAAATTTCATCAAAATCGGTCCATAACTTTTTGAGTTATGTTGCTAACAGACAAACAAACAAACAAACAAACAAAACAGACAAACAGACAAACAAACAGACAAACAGACAAACAGACAAACGCCGGCAAAAACATAACCTCCTTGGCGGAGGTAATCAAACACTCTATAGCCCAAGTGTTTTCCAGAGCAGGACTGGTCAGGTCGGGTCAGCAGATTTTTGTGAATATAAATGAGTCTTACTGAATCCGAGGCCGTGGACAGGTCCAGGTGGAAGTCTGCGTGGGAGGGCGAGTACATGTGTTGGGTGAAACTCCCCAGCAGGCGGCGCACTTCCTCGGACACGTGGGTCAGAGAGATGTCCTGGTTCTGGATGGAGTTGACCGCAGAGTGTTTTTTGAGGAGTTTGTCCAACCTCCTCACAAACTGACAGTTGGGCAGCTGTCTGTAGAGTTTACACAGAGTCTCCTCCTGAAGGAAATCCCTCAGACTCACCCCGTTCTCCAGCAGAAGACTCACGAACTCGGGCTTGTTTCCGACCAGAGCCGAGAACATGGCGCTGTGGAGCTGCTCCGACTGCACAACGACAACAGACGGTAATAAAAGTGAAAGAATGAAAGTCACATTTGTATAGAGTTTATAAGTTATTTTCCAAAGAGCCCCACATAGAAATGAAATCTGATTAAACTAATTATTGCGTGTGTTGACATGCACATCAGTATCTCGGTTATTAGTCGTACCCCAGTTATGTCAGTATTCGGGATACTGAGAGAAACCGGGACACTCATATCCCTGTGTACATGATCAAATGGAGTATCCCAGTTTCTTGACATTTTCTTACGAATGCACAAGCACAAAAATTAACTTAACTTAACAACCACGAGTTCCTTTAGCAGAGGAAACTTGGGACGTTCCTAACCAGCGGTAAAGAGCTATGATCCACTGCAGATGAAACCGAACGTTTCCAAACAAGTTCTACACTGCAGCAGATTCTTAATTAAAATCTTCTGCATAAATAAACTCAACTTTACAACAAATAAACCATAACCACTATAGAACCACATCAGCTCGTTTGATAATATAATTCAGCTTTGCGCAAATTTGTTTATGTTTTACAGAAAAGAAACTTAAAACTGCATGACTAAATTGCATAAACTGTGAGCGGTGATAAAAACAGTTCTTTCCTTGTGTCGCTGATGTGGTTCAGCTTCTGTCGGACTAAAGGACACGACTCAGTGGAATATGAGTGTTCTTTCTGTGACAGGATGTGCTGCTGATGGTGAGTCTGTTCTGTGTGTTGTATAGGAGATGGTTCATGTTTAACTTACAGTCATTTCACTCATGTACAATCACTTTATTTATGTTGGTCACTTTATTTATGTCACTACTGTTGTGGTGAAAAGACTGAAAAGTGTTTGTCTTTTGGACACATGTGCAGTCACATTGCAGTATTTGGGATACTGCAAATTCATGCCACAGTATCCCGGTTACTATCGGAATAAACCAGCTACAGTGTCCCGGTTTCTCATAACTGGTATACTGCCATAACCGGGATACTGAAACCGGGGTACTGCGTATACATGCACCATGAAGAAACCGGGACACTGAAAAAACCTGATCATCCTCGGGACACTGATGTGCTGTAAACACATATGCAGTGTAGAATATTATTACTTACAAAGTCCTGGGAGGAGTTTGAGTCGTTTTGGGAAAGTAACTGCTCAGTACAGCTCCAGTTTTGAGAAATCAGGATACTGTGTCTACAGATGTTACGACCCAGCTCGTTTGGGGTGAGGGAAGTAACAAAAATAAAACCAAGATGTAAAATGGAATAAATTAAGTAATGTTTAATTAACAGGAATGTAAAGGTAAATTAACAAAACACTAAAAATATACAGAAAACAACCTAAACTAAGAAACAGAACAACAGAATAAACAGAGTTTTGTGCCAGAAAAGGGGTCACGCAGACTTACACAAAAACGAGTGGTAAAACTTAGGGACACACACTAAACTAAACACAAGTTCCCCAAATTAAACCACATAAACCCACAAACAGAATCGAGTGACCAAATCAAAAAAGGCACAAAACAGAACTAGACTAACACACAAACACAAAACCAAAATGGCAGACTGGCCACCAAGGCCAGCAGCCCCGAACAGGTGCTGGCAATCTCCTTAAATAGGGGGAGGTGGCTGCAGGTGAGGTGGGCGTCGACTTGCTCCACCAATCACAGACCAGGACTCCTGCAGCAGGAATCAAGAGAACTCTGCAGAAATATTACAACTAAGGCCTGGGGCCGTAACAACAGACCATAGTGTCCTGAATACTCTCAGAAAAAAACAATGAGAGTTTCCTGGTTTCTCATCACCGGGATACTGGCAGATCCAGGAGACTGAAGTCAGGATACTGTGTTTACATGGACTCTCACAAAACCGGGAGACTCAAAAAACCCGATCAGAACTGGGAGACTCGAGCGCATGTAAACACTATCGCTGCAGCTATCTAAACTGAAGCCATTTTGACAGTAAAGTCTTTCAGAAACACAAGTTTTACAGTTTATTGTAACCTATTAGAATAAAGGAAACTTGCTTATGTGGGGCTTTGGAATATTTCCTGTTCTCGTATTATAAAGACACTGTAATCGTGGTCAAAGGGCGTTCAGTTCACAGGTCTCTGGTCGTGTGTAAACCATAAATAAAATCACAGTATTAAAGTTAACCCCGCTAGCCACCGCGTTCCAAACAGGAAGTGAGCACGAGGGCGATTCGGCTCCATCAACTCCGGTGACAATTCACTTTACACTGAAAAATTGTCCCCACTCGCTCTGTAACTGCTGCTGATGAGCCTCGTCATTAACAGTGTTCGTATTAACCCACTCTACGTGATCCTGGTGTTTTTATTTCGCTTTTTTGTCCGTAAATAAATTCCTCTTCCTAATATGGAACTCTAAATTCGCTCCTATAACTGCCGCCCTCATGAGCTTCATTTGACTGGAGCTGAAGGATTTATACACTTCTTTATACAATCTGTGGTCCCAGCTTTTATTTAACCCTCTGAAACATCATTATAAAACCATTAAAAGCTTTTTTGTTTCTGTATTTGGTCCTTGTTAAATCAAACCTACGATGAAGAGTAAACCAAAAAAATCATCCTGAAACCTCGTCAGTGCAGCTCTACTTATCCCGTGTCGTGTCGTCGATAAACCGCAGCTGACCTCCCACTGGCTCTCGTCGGTGAAGATCTCTGTGTCGGCGATGTCCGCTCTGTTCCAGGCCACGGCGAGCTCCAGCTGCCTCTGAGAGTCCTCGCTCACGGCCCCCTCTCCACTCCTGGACGCTGAGGGCACAGGTCAGGTCAAAAGTCACGTCAGGATTCTATAGGACAATAATACTTCATACAGATGGGGTGAATATTGTTAAAATGCAGGTTTGTGTTGTAATACAGTGAGTTCATGGCTTTAGTCACTAATAGAAATGTTCAGGTTCAACATTTCTGCTTTTACCTTTTGTAGTTTGCATGTAACTTAGGCTACGTTCCGACTGCAGGGCTTAATGCTCAAATCAAATTTTATTGTGAAATCCGATTTTTTTGCAAGGTCGTTCATATTTCCAATTAAATGTGACTTGTGTGTGATCTCCAGTGCAGAGTCCTGCTCGGGTCAGACACCTGCTCTCAAATGTAGTGACGTCAAAGTAAAAAGTATCTACTGAAAAATGTACTGCAGTGGGTGAAGTGACTTGCACAAGGCAGAGTCCTGCACGGGTTCATTTTTGGAGACCCGCACCCGCCCGCACCCGCGCAGTTCAGCACTGCACACGCTCGTTAACCCGTGATTATATCAAAGTTAAACCCGCAGCCCCCGGACCCGTTAACATTTCACCCGTTACCCGCCCGTGCCCGAGATAAACCACACACAAATTAAAAACATTCTGACGGAAGCAGCCGTCAGAATATGAATTGAAAAGTTACCATTTCAAGAATTACAATCACGAAATGAAATGAAACGGTTACACTTTCTTCAGTACCAACATGAACTCACAGACGCGATTCGACTGTCAAAAATACGTCATCACTTCACGGGGTTTATTTACTGAGCAGAAGAAATTTTGATCGAAATGCTTGAGTTTTGCGCCGCACATGCCACAGACTGAACCAGGAGTAAACCAGGAATAAACCAGGTCTAATCTAAGACTAATTCCAGAATTAAACCAGGACTAAACCAGGACTGAACCAGAACTGAACCAGAACTGAACCAGGACTCACTGTTGGGACGAGCTCGAAGGTGCATCTCTGTGTAGACCGTACTGCAAGGAAGGTTAGACCCAGAACGTTAAAACCTGCCCGTACCCGTACTCGTACCCCCGCGTACTCAACCCGGTGCAGGACTCTGCTCTAGTGTGAACTTTAAACACTCCAAAAGTGCCCCGCGTGCGCATTTTTTGAAAAGTTTTGCTTACTGTTTACAAGGAATTGATTTTTTTTATAATATTTCATACATTTGTTGCTTATTTGAGAATATTTTCTTTAACTTATAAGTATTGCCAAGCAGCACTTTGCATTTATTTTATTTTTCCGTTTTTATAATGTTAAAACAAATTGTTGGTTTAATAAAAACACAAATGGTTTTGCATTTTGTTTCCAGACTGAACCAAATTTTTGTACAGTTGATTTTTGTACTGTTACATCCCTAGCAAATAGTGTTTCTCAAGCTTATTTTTTGTCCTTATTTGTATTTAATCTATCTAATATAATCCCAACTCTGATATAATCCCAGTTTCCGTCTAGTGATGCTCAGAAAGCCAAATTGATTTTAGACGTTATCTGGCACGAACATTTTGAGCTCCTGATCTACTTTACCTTTCCAACCTCCTTAAAACACATCATCATTATTCTTCATTCTTCACCGTCAGCATCGTACTCGCCGCGGTTTAAAGACCCACAAGTGCCTCTCTCAGCTCTGTCCATTTCCTGTAATCACCGCGATACCTCCAGATCCATTAGCACAGAAAGCTCGTCTGACCTTTGAGAAGAGCTCGCAGAATGGCCACGTCTACGTCTCCGTCGCCGTCTGCGGTCGCCCTGAAAACCGTCAGGAGATGAGGCGTCCTGATGATGTCCTGGATCTGAACACACACGGCAAAAAGTGCAGATACAGGAGCAAAAAATATTCACATAAAAGTAAAAGTATCATATTAAAAAATCAATGTAAGTAAAATATGAATGTACTTGTTTAAGAGTAAAAAGTGAAAGTATTTTACAGGGATTTTGACGTCTAATAAAGCTTCAAATGTTGTGATTTTGATGCAGATTTGTGCTGAATTTGTTCAATAAAAACTATTAAATCAATAGTTTTTCCTAGCTCTTTTTATTTGTTTTTTTTTTTTTTGCTCAAACTCTGAAAACTAAAATAAATAAACCCTCAACTTTTTCAGCAGCTCTCAAACTATAAATAAAAAGACTTTTACTTTTCACTGGAGTAGAAAGTACAGATACTTGCTCTCAAATGTAGTGACGTCAAAGTATGAAGTATCTACTTAAAAATGTACTGAAGTGGGTGAAGTGTCTTGCACAAGGCAGAGTCCTGCACGGGTTCATTTTTGGAGACCCGCTCCCGCAGGACCACCCCCGCCCTTTAACTCGTGATTGCATCAAAGTTACCGACCCATGAACATTCCAAATCACACGCAAATTAAAATCATTCTAACTGAAGTATCCACCGAAATACAAACTGAAAAGATGCGACTTCAAGAATTACAATCACGGAATGAAATAAAACGGTTTCACTTTCTTCAGTACGAACACGAATTCACAGACACGATTTGACTGTCAGAACTTCACAGGGATTATTTACTGAGCAGAAGAAATGGTGATCGCGATGCTGGATTTACCACAGACTGAACCAGAACTAAACCAGGACTACACCAGGGCTAATCTTGGACTTGAGAGAGAGAGAAAACACCGAGCCCGGAGAGCAGGGTGTCCGAAAAGCGCGACTGGGGTACGGCTGCGGTTACCCCTGCCTGCGGTCACCCGACGGTCTACATGGGCACATCTCCGAGCCCGTCCTGACACTGGTTTAGTCTTGGTTTAGTCCTGGTGTAGTCCTGGTTTAGTCCTCCTGGTTCAGTCCTGGAATCAGTCCTACGTTAGTCATGGGTTTGTGCTGGTTTAGTCCTGGGTTAGTCCTGGGTTAGTCCTGGTTTAGTTCTGGTTCAGTCTGTGGTAAATCCAGCATCGCGATCACCATTTCTTCTGCTCAGTAAATAATCCCTGTGAAGTTCTGACAGTCAAATCGTGTCTGTGAATTCGTGTTCGTACTGAAGAAAGTGAAACCGTTTTATTTCATTCCGTGATTGTAATTCTTGAAGTCGCATCTTTTCAGTTTGTATTTCGGTGGATACTTCAGTTAGAATGATTTTAATTTGCGTGTGATTTGGAATGTTCATGGGTCCGGTAACTTTGATGCAATCACGAGTTAAAGGGCGGAGGTGGTCCTGCGGGAGCGGGTCTCCAAAAATGAACCCTTACATAATAACTTTGAATAAACTAGTACAAAACTGAACAAGGACAAAATAATTTCACTCACTTATTCCTTTTAATTCAAGAGGTTTAACAGGTAAATGTGGACAAACTACACCCAGACATAAAAATAAACTCATGCCGTTGTACCTTCTTGGTCCACTCGATGATCTTGGCGTCGGAGAAACACTCGTACTCCTGCCCAAAGAACCTCTTCATGAGCTGCTGGATGAGGACGATGGTGACCTTGCTCACGTGCAGCTCTGCCACGTGTGCCACCACATCCGCCATCCTGCCCGAGCCCTCCAGCACCACACACGGAGTCCCGTTCAGCATGGCATTGTACATGGTCTGACAGGAGATACAGAAGACTTTTTAAATTAGTTATTCTGGCACTAAAAACAGTCTTACCCACTCCACAAAACACCCGAAGAAAATCTATTATTACTCCAGACTGTCCGTGTGAATGTTTGTGTTGATAGAATAATGTTTGAAATAAAACTAACCTCGCATCGCATGAATCGTCGCATGTTGAGGGACTATTTTCTCATATATCAGTCCGCCGCTGCTGAGCTTTCTGTCAGGAAGAACAACTCACTGTTGCTCAGACATAAATCCTTCAAATACAAGGTTGGTTTTACTTCTAACATTATTCTATCAACACAGACACTCACATTCGTCTGGTGTAATAATAGATTTGTTTCGGGTGTTTTGTGGAGTGGGTAGGACAGTTTTTAGTGGCAGGATAAACTATGACCATTGAACCAGTGACCTCTGCAAATACAAGGACTGGATAGAATATTTTTAAAAGTGTCTCCACACGTCTCCGACACTGTGGATCACGAGGAAATGAGGCCCTATGTCCAAAACTCCGGACTGTCACTTTAACTGTAGAGGCTTATCTGATGTTCGTCAGGTCTATCAGGTTACATTATCAACCATAATTCTTTCTTTATTACGTTTTATTTATTTATTTGCAAAAATTGCTTTTTGGATTCTTCTTTTCTAAAAAAAAAAAAAAAAAAAAGACCAATTTACAAACTCCATTCACTGTAGTTATGATTTATACTCGAAGTAAGTAATTAAGTACGTTTTTTTTTTTTTTATATAGCGCTTTTCACAGACATTTGTCACAAAGACACTTTACAGAGCATTATTTTATTCACTCCAGACCTGGTGGTGGTAAACTACTATTGTAGCCACAGCTGCCCTGGGGCAGACATGCCATGCAGCAGTGGCTCTAGTGAAGACTGAATGAAAAATGCTCTGTAAAGACTTTTTGACTGTCCAAAAAGCTCTGAATAAATCTAATGAATCATCATTACTGAACATTTCACACAATAAAAGGGAAAGTCTTTTCACCAGCAAAAGTATGAAGGTGGTCCTCAGTCAGCAGAAGAAGCCAACAAGCAAAGGACTGTGTTTTCTCTAGCCAGGCTGACACCACCTAGTGCCTCCACTCAATTTCATTTCTCTCCAGTGACTAGGTCAGGAATCAGAATACACTAGACCTGTTTGCAAAAACCCCGGACGTTGTAGAACGACCAATCAGCGAAGAGCTGAACCAACCCAAGTTGTGACAGCAGACTGCAGACGCTATTCTACTTTGGACTTTCTTTGTCAAATATAAACTTTGCCTTTTTTATTGCACCTTTAATTCGCAGAAACGACAATGATTGTTGACAGACATGTTCACTCTGTGCTTTGTTTGCTGTTGCGTCGATAATTACTTGGACACCACTGAGTGTTCCGGCGCATTAAATATGTCATGACCAAACAGCAGCGATTGGTTAAATAAAAAAAAGTACCCACCTACAGTCAGGTGAACAAATCCTAATGCTGCGAGGTCACACGGTTTCCACCAAGTGAAACTGGCTCATGAATAAGTTTACTCACAGACTGACTGCTCCCACTCAGACTGTACCTGCTCCAGCTGTGACTCCTTAGTGAAGCATTAAGGTCAGCAGAAGAACAGTTAGACTCACATTTAGAGTTCCAGGTCCTCCATTCAACACCACACACACCACAGGGATGGTCACGCCGCTCGCTAAAGCACAAAAACAATCTGATTAGTATCAAAAACACCAACTGAGCGGAGCTGTTGACTCTGACCTTGGTTGCTGAGTCTTTTCCTGGCGATGCATTTCTCCAGCTGGGCCCGGAGCTCGATCTCGGCCCCGTACTGTCCGTGGGTGCCGTTGTCCACCAGCAGGAAGTGGGTGTGGTTGTGGTCCAGGCAGCTGAGCCAACCCTGATCCTTCACGTCTGCGTCATAGTGAGCGGGGAAACAGCCCTAGAGCGAGGCCAGAGAGTCAGATCAGGTCAGGTCAGAAATGAAGCCCAGAGAAGAAAACTGGTCTTAGGTTACTGTCTCTCTTTCTGGTGTGATGTGAAGTCAATTCTCATTGTAAAATTATACGATTACTTTCTCAGAGTGAGCTAAAAATAACCTCTGACCACTCTGGTCCCCGTCTACAAACAGAGCACAGAACCAGATAGGGGAGTATGAGATGTTTTATCATTAGCAGCAACTTAGACTGTAAAAAGAAGTGGACTAAAGCTGCGTTCAGACTGCAGCCTGAAGTGACCCAAATCTGATTTTTTGGCCCCTATGTTCCTGTATCTGATCTTTTAATGTCAGACTGAACGACACAGATCCGATTTTTTCAAATGTGACCCAGGACACTTGGATATGTGCTCCTGAAACCGATATATTTCTGATCTTTTTGACATGCGACTTCAGTCTGAACGGCCACGGCCATTCATCCGACCTACACGTTATCACACGGTGGACTTGGTTATGCCAAAGAGGTTGGCTGTTGTGCAGTAACAAGCACCTGTTGCAAGTCAATACAGCCCAACGCCAACGCGTGTGCTCACGGAAATAAGCCACCGAAGATGTGTTTCCTCCCGCGAGAGTGGCACAAGTTGGCGCTCACAAATGTACACAAACGTTCTTCTCGTCATACAAAAATTGTTACTGAACTCCGTGTCACTGAAGTGAAGCACATCACCACTCACCACTCTTGGCTCCGTCTCCACATCCACACGTTCCTTTCAACGTTCTGTCCCACAAAACACCAAAAACCTCGTCCTTCTCCTTCTCAATCTCCTCCTTAAAACAAGTAAGTTGTTCATGTTCTGGCTCCGGTACGAGAGGAACTTTAAAATCTTCAGATGATCAATGCTCGTGTCCATGTTTGGACAACTTCCGTAAACACAGAGCACGCTCGCTGCGGTTGACGGTTGATGTTCACACTGGAGATCTCACATACAAGTCGCATTTAATTGGAAATGTGAACGACGAAAACATCGGATTTCACAAAAAAAATCTGAATTGAGCGTTAAGCCCTGCAGTCTGAACGTAGCCTAAGTGAGTGTGACAGCTCCAGTCAAATGAAGCTCATCGAAGCTGCAGTTAAAGAAGTGAATTTTGAGGAGAGTTCGATATTACGAATTAGAAAGAGCAAAATAAAAAGTACTAGACAGAATACATTTTTGGTATATCCACTTTCTACTCCACTACATTTTGAACAAGACAACAAAGTAAGTTTTTTTTTTTTTTTAAACACACATTTGTAGCTTCAGCAAACAAAAATATGTGACTAAACAGCTAGAAAAACAGCTGATTCAGTTGTTTCTATTGAACAAAATCTTGAACAAAATCTCTACATTTGAAGCCGTGTGAAATGCTAATACTTTACATTTATTCAATTACAGGTGGTTTTATAGCTCAAAAATACCTAGAAAAACAGACATTCTGACTGTGAGCGGGGTCGCCTCTCCACGGATCTGACCTGTAACCTGGTCTGGTTTGGTCTCCATGAAGATAGAAAGGTTTACTGCCATACTGTGAAACATTCCAGACAAAACAACACACACTGCACCTTCACCCGAATCATTTGGATAATTTCAGCTCTGGAATTTCAACTCTCTACTAAACTAAAGGTAAAATGCGGCTGTTAAACTCAAAACGACAACTACATGACATCACCAGGTGGACCAGAACATTTGGAGCTTTGGAGATGTAAACAGACTAATAATAAAGAGTTACTCCAACATGTGTGAATGAAACAAACACAGCTCCAGGTCTGTTTTTTTGTTTTTTTTTTGAGGCGGGAACAACATTAGAACCTGGTTTCACATGAGTCCACGTCGTGTCGTCTCGGAGCTTCAGACTGAACTCGCTGTCGTACCTTTGAGTTGACCAGCACGTCTCTGTTGTGGAGGATCCCCCACGTGGCCACGCCGATGGCCACGATGTGTCCCCCGCTCACGGAGCTGCTCAGGGCGTGGTCCCTCACCGCCTGCCCCACGTGCTTCATCACCCCCGTGTTTGTGCCTCCTGTCAGAATCCACGCACCTGCCGCAAGAAACAGACAGCAGAGGAATCTAACGCCAGTCTAAAGTCCAGGTGCCCACTTTCTACCTTTAACTTACGGTGACCAGACGTCCCTGTTTACCCGGGACAGTCCCAGTTCTGAGCCTGTGTCCTCTGTTCCAGCAGATTTATACAAAACCAATTATTTGTCCCAGTTTATACAACAAATGTCCCAGGTGTCCCTATTTTTGACCAATCTGATCTCTGCCGACAGTAAAGAGAAGTATAAACTGTCATTTGTTTTATGTAAAATATAGAAAAGCTGCTTAAAAATGACCAAAACACAAATTGTGATTATACTGATTCATGGTAATTACGCACTTGACATAATTACGCACCAAACATTGAGTGCGTCACATGCACATCAACAACCCGGTTATGATCCATGTCCCGGTTCTGTCAGTGTTCGTGTTACTGTGTTTACATGAGCACTGAGAAACCGGGACACTCATATCCACGTGTACATGATCAAATGGAGTGTCCCGGTTTCTTGACATAATCTTACAAATGTGCAGGTGCAAAAATTTAACTTAAATCAATTTCATAAACCAGGAAAAATACAAACCGTGAGCTCCTTTAGCATAAGAAGCTAAGGAGCTACGAGATCTCCCACAATCCACTGTGCAGATTCTTCATTCAAATCTTCTGCATAAATAAACTCAACTTTACAACATATAAACCATAAACACTATAGACACATCAGCCCGTTTGATCAGATCATTCAGCTCTGATCACATTTGTTTACGTTTTACAGAAACGAAACTTAAGACCGTTTGGCTAATTAGCATAAACTGTTAGCGGCGATAAAAACAACTCGCTCCTTGTGCCGCTGATGTGATCAGTTTCTTTTGGACTAAATGACACGACTCTGTGGATTATGTGTGTTTATTTCTGTGACAGAAGAGGTGCTGATGATGGTAAGTCTGTTTTCTGTGCGTATAGTTGTACAGGAGATAGTTCATGTTTTAGCTTTCAGCGTTCACACGAGTGCGTCAGTCAGTACGAGTGCAGTCGTACGAGTGCAGGTCGTACGAGTGCAGGTGTACATGTGCAGTGCAGTGTACAGTGCAGTTTAGCGCAGCTCTTTATTTTACAGTCATTTCACTCGTTTGGTCACTTTATTTATGTTGGTCAATTTATTTATGTCACTACTGTTGTGGTGAAAGGCTGGAAAGTGTCTTTTGGACACATGCGACTCAACTTTATGTTGCAGTAACCGGGATACTGCGTTTACATGCCACAGCATCCCGGTTACTATCGGAATAAACCAGCTACAGTAACCCGGTTTCTAATAACCGGGATACTGCCATAACCGGGTTACTGAAACCGGGTTACTGTGTTTACATGCACCATCAAGAAACCGGGAAACTCAAAAAACCCGATCATAACCGGGTTACTGATGTGCATGTTTACGCACTCATTCTCTTTGTTCCGGCTTTAAATCTCGACGCTTTGTTTACTGTTGTGCTGAAACTCAAAAGGGACACAGACAGACGCCACCAGTTTGATGTCATGACTTCACAGCTGATTGGTCGGTGCGCCGTCTACAACTTCCAAGGTTCTTGCAAATCATCCAGTGTATTCTGATTCCTGATCTAGTCACTGGAGAGAAATGGAATTGAGCGGAGGCACTAGGTGGCACCAGTCTGACTAAAAGAACAGTGTTTTCTGTGTAGAACATTCTAATGTTAAGTGACCCCTGTGGGAGCCTACAGAAAACCTCTGGAAAAGAACAAACCATTCTTCTATTTCTATTTTAAAATGACCTTGTTTCGTCTCAGAGTCCAAGGAGCTTTCCTCACATCTTCTATTAGTCTGTCCACTGTCCACTGCCCACTGTAGCTACAGTCGGCCTAACTTTCACCTGGATGTCAAAAGTCAAAGTTCAATTTGTCAACTGGACAAAAGTTTATTTGGTCGAAAACATTTCTCAGCTCATCCAAACTGCTTCTTCAGTTCTGTCAAAACGCTGGTGGACACTTTCTTATATCTGCCTTCATTATTCACTTGGATGAACAATGCACAAAGACTTCCGGCGCTAATTAAGACTAATGCATCGTTATCATTATCATCAGGCTACTTCTCACTAATTCTGGTTGGTCCTGGTTGAGTTTAGTCCTGCTTTAGTCTCGGTTTGGTCCTGTTCTTGGTCCTTGGTTCTTGACCCGGTATCTGTGTGTTTCTGGGAAGTCGGCTCCGTCCGTCCGATGAGCAGATAGACGGACTCTGTGTCACCGTTCAGTAGATCTGCAGGATAAGAGCGTCCCTGAAGACTTTCTAATCTCATCACAGAACTTTAATGTAATGAGGTACCAGCTTCTTCCACTTTATCTCAACTGCAACAGATTCTGAAACGTCATTACAATAAAAGGATTCTGGATTCTGGCCTAACAGCAGTTTATCTACAGCACTTACAAAAGCACGACATGTACTGGAGTCTGATTGATGGAGGCAGGACGACAGCGCCATCTGCAGTCCAACTTTTTCAGGAGAGTATCCCCGGTGTGTGAGAGTAAAAAACTGTACTTTAAACCAGGACGAGGGGCGTTTTTACTCTCACACACCTGGGAAACTGCGATGAACGTTATGCAAAACTTTAACTGAACTATAAAAACTTGAATTTCTCCCAGGATCAGTGAAAAATATCTCTCTATGGCTACGTTTACAGTGAAACAAATCACCGTATCAGAAACGATTCGCGTCCAGACACGTTGTTTCTGTGTCCGCAATCCTTCCCTATCCACACGACTTTGAGCACATTTGTTTATGTTTTACAGAAATTAAACTTAAAACCATGTGACAAATTTGCATGAACTAAGCGCTCAAAAAAAAACCTTTTCTTGTGCGCTGATGTGGTTCAGTTTCTGTCGGACTAAAGGACACGACTCAGTGGAATATGAGTGTTCTTTCTGTGACAGAGGCGTGTTCTGCTGATGGTGAGTCTGTTCTGTGTTTCTTTCGCGTTGCAGATGTTTGGTTTTTTTTACAAATTGCAGCGTATTTCTGCCACACTCCCACGTGACAACGAACTAAAGCTGCTACAACGATGACGATGACAATGACGACGATGACGACGATGACAACTATGACGCGTTTGACCCCGCTCCCCCACTCCCCCACCTCCGCCCACTCACACACCGTCCCGCGTCTGCACCGTACACGTCTGTTGTTCTGCGTTATTTATCTTTATTTTTTACTCCAAACACGCTTTTTGTAACCATGTTCTCGTGGAGAAAGTGCGTATTTGGCTGCGATGGCGAGTCCAAATTATTTGTCACGTCGACAGAAGAAGCGAGACGTGTTCAGTGTCTGGAGTTTATTTCTGGGAACACAGACAAAAAGGTCCCCAAGAATATTTTTAGTTTGTGAGCGACACTTCACCGAAGACGCATCGAGAACTACAGGTGTTTTAAAACTGGACTTAGTAGTTGTAGTTTATTCGGTCATTTTGCAGCATTACAAAACAAAACAAAAACAAAACATAGACTACAACCCCATAGATCTTGACCGAAAGGGTTTAGGCTGAAGTAAAAACTACTTATAATGCCTAACTTACAACGAAGCAGAAGCGACACGGAAAAGGATGTTCCCACGATACCAGGTCCAGTGATGGAGATCCTACATCTGTACGTTTACCGCGAGTAAACCGCTGAAGAGAACTAAAAACTAACTGCAGTGTTTGTTTTTGAAGATTATCCAAATTATAATTTCAAGTGTATGTCATGTCCATTGTTCTACCTGTTTTAGTTTGACAAACGTTACGTCGTCCTACGATATCACACTGATACTAACAACAGACTTAGGGCATCGTTTTATTCTAGTGAGTCGTCTTCAACGCTTCTGCGCGAGAACAAAATGGCGATTACACCTCAGTCATTACGAGCACTGATGTTTAGTGTTCACCTGTTCACATTATGACCTCCTCATTTGATCAAACATTATTACAGGATTCAAGTTTGTCCAGTTATTCCTTCTGTCTCCCCCTCCCTCCCTGAGACGGGCGGAGGAAGGGCGGCTCACTCGTCGCCTACGTCGCGTGACACTTTTACTTTGTGCTTTTGTGCGTGTACTTTTGGCGGTGCGGCGTGGCCTCACCTGTGGTCTGGGCGACTTTGATCAGGCCTCTGTGGAACATGCTCTTGAGTCGGGCCTTCAGGTAGAAGTTCTTGGCTCCTCCAGTCACAGAGATGAGCAGGTTCGGAGGAGACAGTTTCCATTGTTCTGTCAGGAGCTCGTACAACAGCTCCGGCTTCGTGTCCGAGGAAACGCGAATGTACTACAAGTACACAAATACACAAAGATACGACAAATACTACACAAATACACAGAGATATGATGATAATACAACTGTTTTCTTCATTATTTGTCTCCAAAACCAAAATGAAAAACAGATAATGATTCGTTTTTTCAGTTTTCGATTTTGTGTTTAAATGAAAAATGGAAAAAAAACTGATAACAGACTGAACCAGGACTAAAACAGGTCTAAACTAGAACTAAACCAGGACTGAACGAGGACTAAGTGTCGGGACGGGACCAGACCAGGACCAAATCGGGACCAGACCAAGACTGAGATCGGAACTGAGACGGGGACTGAGTGACCAGGACCAGACCGGGACTGAGACTGAGACCAGACTGGAACTGAGACCAGGACCAGAGCGGGAGCAGACTGGGACCGAGACTGGGCCCAGATCGAGACCAGATCGGGACTGAGACCAGGACTGAGACTGGTTAGTCTTGGTTTAGTCCTGGTTCAGTTCTGGTTTAGTCCTGTTTTAGTCCTGGTTTAGTCCTGGTTTAGTCCTGGTTCAGTCCTGGTTTAGTCCCTGGTTCAGTCCTGGTTTTAGTCCTGGTTTAGTAGTCCTGGTTTAGTCCTGGTCCTGGTTAGTCCTGGTTCAGTCCTGGTCCTTTTAGTCCTGGTTTCAGTCCTGGTTTAGTCCTGGTTCAGTCCTGGTTCAGTCCTGGTTTAGTCCTGGTTCAGTCCTGGTTCAGTCCTGGTTCAGTCCTGGTTCAGTCCTGTTTTTAGTCCTGGTTTCAGTCCTGGTTCAGTCCTGGTTTAGTCCTGTTTTAGTCCTGGTTCAGTCCTGGTTCAGTCCTGGTTTAGTCCTGGTTTAGTCCTGGTTTAGTCCTGGTTAGTCCTTCCTTAGTCCTGGTTCAGTCCTGGTTCAGTCCTGGTTTAGTCCTGGTTTTTAGTCCTGTTTTAGTCCTGGTTTTAGTCCTGGTTAGTCCTGGTTCAGTCCTGGTTTAGTCCTGGTTCAGTCCTGGTTTAGTCCTGGTTCAGTCCTGGTTCAGTCCTGGTTTAGTCCTGGTTTAGTCCTGGTTTAGTCCTGGTTTAGTCCTGGTTCAGTCCTGGTTCAGTCCTGGTTTAGTCAGTCCTGGTTTAGTCCTGGTTTAGTCTGGTTTAGTCCTGGTTAGTCCTGGTTTCAGTCCTGGTTTCAGTCCTGGTTCAGTCCTGGTTCAGTCCTGGTTCAGTCCTGGTTTTCAGTCCTGTTCAGTTAGTCCTGGTTTAGTCCTGGTTTCAGTCCTGGTTCAGTCCTGGTTCAGTCCTGGTTCAGTCCTGGTTCAGTCCTGGTTCAGTCCTGGTTCAGTCCTGGTTTAGTCCTGTTCAGTCCTTCAGTTTCAGTCCTGGTTTCAGTCCTGGTTCAGTCCTGGTTCAGTCCTGGTTTTCAGTCCTGGTTCAGTCCTGGTTTAGTCCTGTTTAGTCCTGGTTCAGTCCTGGTTCAGTCCTGGTTCAGTCAGTCCTGGTTCAGTCCTGGTTCAGTCCTGGTTTAGTCCTGGTTCAGTCCTGGTTCAGTCCTGGTTCAGTCCTGGTTCAGTCCGGCATCTCAAGTTTAAGTCACGTAAACAGGATTATCTGTTTTTTCCATTTTTCATTTAAACACAAAATCAAAAACTGAAAAAACGAATCATTATCTGTTTTTTCATTTTGGTTTTGGAGACAAATAATGAAGAAAATAGTTGGTTTTTTTTACATTTTTTTTTTATTTTTAGTTTTATAGACAGAGGTTTTTGTTGGTACCTTGGCGGTCTTTTTTCCCAGTCCCCTGAAGCAGACGTTTCCGAAAGCGTCCGTGCTGCTGTCCCGGACGTGTTTGTGACGGTCCCACTTCTCCGTGTGGTCTGAGTGTGTGAGAGCCTCCGACAGGTGACTGCTCCTGCCCAGACCACACTCACACCTGTCCTCCCTGTCAACGACAACACAGACAAGGTCACGTCGGCCCTCGAGGAACCAGGGCTGTAAAATATAAATATAAATATAAATATAAATATAAATATAAATATAAATGTAAAACAACTACAACTTAAATGTCAAACTGGAGCAACTGGCAATGGTGAAAATAACCTGCATAGACTTAAGATATCAGCAGGACTAAACCAGGACTAAACCAGGACTGAACCAGGACTACTAAACCAGGACTAAACCAGGACTGAACCAGGACTAAACCAGGCAGGACTGAACCAGGACTAAACCAGGACTGAACCAGGACTGAACCAGGACTGAACCAGGACTAAACCAGGACTAAACCAGGAAACCAGGACTAAACCAGGACTGAACCAGGACTAAACCAGGACTGAACCAGGACTAAAACCAGGACTAAACCAGGACTGAACCAGGACTAAACCAGGACGAAACCAGGACTGAAACCAGGACTAAAACCAGGACTGAACCAGGACTAAACCAGGACTGAACCAGGACTAAACCAGGACTGAACCAGGACTAAACCAGGACTAAACAGGAAAACCAGGACTGAACCAGGACTAAACCAGGACTGAACCAGGACTAAACCAGGACTAAACCAGGACTAAACCAGGACTGAAACCAGGACTAAACCAGGACTGACTGAACCAGGAACCAGGACTGAACCAGGACTGAACCAGGACTAAACCAGGACTAAACCAGGACGAAACCAGGACTGAACCAGGACTGAACCAGGACTAAACCAGGACTGAACCAGGACTAAACCAGGACTAAACCAGGACTAAACCAGGACTAAACCAGGACTAAACCAGGACTAAACCAGGACTAAACCAGGACTGAACCAGGACTAAACCAGGACTAAACCAGGACTAAACCAGGACTGAAACCAGGACTGAACCAGGACTAAACCAGGACTAAACCAGGACTAAACCAGGACTAAACCAGGACTAAACCAGGACTAAACCAGGACCTGAACCAGGACTGAACCAGGACTAAACCAGGACTGAACCAGGACTAAACCAGGACTGAACCAGGACTAAACCAGGACTGAACCAGGACTAAACCAGGACTAAACCAGGACTGAACCAGGACTAAACCAGGACTAAACCAGGACTGAACCAGGACTAAACCAGGACAAACCAGGACTGAACCAGGACTAAACCAGACTGAACCAGGACTAACCAGGACTAAACCAGGACTAAACCAGGACTAAACCAGGACTAAACCAGGACTAAACCAGGAACCAGGACTAAAAGGACTAAAACCAGGACTAAACCAGGACTAAACCAGGACTCAGGAAACCAGGACTAAACCAGGACTGAAACCAGGACTAAACCAAGACTGAACCAGGACTAAACCAGGACTGAACCAGGACTAAACCAGGACTGAACCAGGACTAAACCAGGACTGAACCAGGACTAAACCAGGACTAAACCAGGACTAAACCAGGACTGAACCAGGACTAAACCAGGACTAAACCAGGACTAAACCAGGACTAAACCAGGACTAAACCAGGACTAATCCAGGAGTGAGTGTCGGGTCCAAAGCTGCACCTGCATAGACGACAGGTGACGCAGGCGTCCGTCGTCCGATCGCGCTTTGCCGACACCCTGCCCCACGGGCTCAGTGTTCTTCTCTCTTTCTCTCTCAAGTCCAAGATTAGTCCTGGTTCAGTTCTGTTTTAGTCCTGGTTTAGTCCTAGTTTAGATCTGGTTTAAATCTGGTTCAGTCCTGGTTTAGTCCTGGTTTAGTCCTGGTTTAGTCCTGGTTTAGACCTGGTTTAGTCCTGGTCCTGGTTTAGTCCTGGTTCAGTCCTGATTTAGTCCTGTTTTTGTCCTGGTTTAGACCTGGTTTAGTCCTGTTTTTGTCCTGCTTTAGACCTGGTTTAGTCCTGGTTCATGTTTTGTTTGATTTATGTTCTGTAGATTATAAATGACGTTAATGTTAATAACATGATTCTGTATCATTTTAAGTAAAAAAAAAAAAAAGAAAACATCAAATATTATAGGTTTTTACTGGGCCGGCTTTTTTATGTTTGTACCTAAAGTGATTTATTTATTTTTTTAATAAACAAACAATCAATAAGACCCCTGTGTGTATTTCGGCATGTCAAGTTGAATATCGATAATGTCATGAATGGCGTCCCCCCAATCCATGTATCATTCGTTCATTCGTTTTTCAATATAAAACCAAAAATAAGAAAACAAAAAAAACAACAGTTTTCTTCATTATTTGTCTCCAAAACCAAAATAAAAAAATGGATAACAATTCGTTTTTTCAGTTTTCAATTTTGTGTTTAAATGAAAAATGGAAAAAACGGATAATGACCGTTTCCCGTTACGTGACTTCTGTGACTGCGATGCCGGACTTTTGCACCGCGTACGGACTGAACCAGGACTGATCCAGGTCCGGGACCAGAGCGGGACCAGAGCGGGACCAGAGCGGGACTGAGACCGGAGGCTCAGAGCCCACAGCAGGGCCGGAGCTTGAAGCTGAGGCTTGGACCCTGCGGAGGCTCGGAGTCAAAGCTTGGAGTCCGCCCTGGTGCCGCTCTGGTGCCGCTCTGGTCCCGGTCTGGTCCCAGTCTCAGTCCAGCTCTGGTCCCGCTCTGGACCTGGATCAGTCCTGGATCAGTCCTGGTTCAGTCCGTACGCAGTGCAAAAGTTCGGCATCGCAGTCACTGAAGTCACGTAAACGGAAAACGGTCGTTATCCGTTTTTTCCATTTTTCATTTAAACACAAAATTGAAAACTGAAAAAAACTAATCGTTATCTGTTTTTCATTTTTGTTTTGGAGACAAATAATGAAGAAAACTGTTGTTTTTTCATTTTCTTATTTTTGATTTTATATTGAAAAACTAATGAACGAACGACACACAGATTCCCCCTCTGCTGTTAAACAAGTCTCCCTCACATAAAATGACAGTTGAAGCCAGATAGTATTATTCTTGAGTTTTCAAACAATCTAAAAACTTTGGTAGTTATTCCTAATGTGTCTCCATGGTAACTGACGGACTTCCCTTAGTGCCGTCAGTGCAGAGTAAGAGTAGGAGTAGTGGAGGTACCTGCCGCTGCTCTTGTAGTAGCAGCACTCCTTCTTGGAGATGTGTCCTTGGACCCAGGCCGAGTAGTTGTACCTCTGCAGAGAAGACGAGGTGGTCAGAGGGGCAGCGGTCTCCTTCAAGCTCCGCTCAAACCGACCCATGGTCCGAGACGCCGAGTCAAGACCCCAGGCCGAGAACCCAGTCCGAGACCTCAATCTGAGATCCCAGTCCTCCAAGACCCCAATTCTCCAATACCCCAACTTTTCTAGACCCCAGTCCAAGACCCCAATCCTTCTAGACCTCAATCCTCTAACACCCCAACCCAAGACCCCAGTCCTCCAAGATCCCAATTCTCCAAGACCTCAAACTTCTAAGACCCCAGTCCTCCAAGACCCCAGTCTTTCAAGACCCCGATTCTCCGAGACCCCATTTCTCCAAAACCCCAGGTCTGCAAGATCCCAATGCTCCAAGACCCCAGGTTCTCTAAGACCCCAATTCTCTAAACCTCAGTCCAAGACCCCAATCTTCCAAGACCCCGATTCTCCAAGACTCCAATCCTCCGAGACCCCAGTCCCCCAAAACCTCAATTCTCCATACCTGAATCCAAGACCCCAATGCTCCAAAACCCCAGTCCAAGACCCCAATTTTCCAAGACAACAGGCCAAGACCCCAATTCTACAAGACCCCAGTCCTCCTAGACCCCAATGCTCCAAGACCCCAGTCCAAGACCCCAATCTTCCAAAACCTCAGTCCAAGACCCCAATCCTCCTAGACTTCAATCCAAAACCCCAATTCTCCAAGACCCCAATTCTCTAAGACCCCTGTACAAGATCCCAATACTGCAAGACCCCATTTCTCCAAGACCCTGATTCTCCTAGACCCCATTTCTTCAAAACCCCAGTCCAAGACCCCAGTTCGAGACCTCAATACGAGACCCCAATTCTCCAAACCTCAGTCTAAGGCCCCAGTTCAAGACCCCAATTCTCCAAGTCCCCGATTCTCCGAGACCTCAATCCGAGACCCAAAGAGTCCAGGACCTGAAAACTAGACCGGTCCGGACAGGAGTCTGGGTCTCGTCCTGTGCTCTGGTCAGGAGGCTGACAGTGGAAAGAAAGAAAAAAAAAGAGACAGAAACGAGTGAAGACGAGAAAAAGGAGAGAGTAAAAGACAGAGAGAAGAGAAGAGGAGAGGAGAGAGGGAATGGAGCAAAGAGAGAGAAAGAGAGAAGGAGAGTGAGGGGAGGGATGGAGGGAGGGAGTGGGGGAAAGACGGGAGAGACCGAGAAGAAACAGAAGAGGGAGGAGAGAAAGTAAGAGGAGACGATGAGCGGAGAAAATGAAGGAGAGAGGAAAGAAGACAGAGAGAGCGAGAGAGAAGAGAGAAAGAAGAGAGAGGGCGAGACAAGTAGAGGAGAAAAAAAATGGAGAGATAGAGAAAGAGTTAAAGAAAGGGGATACGATGAGTAAGGAGAGAGGAAGTAGAGAAACAGGAGAGATTTAAAAGAAGGAAAGAGATTAAGAAGGGAAAGGAGGTGGATGAGCGAGTGTTTAAAGAAGAGAGAGGAGAGTTAGAAAGCGAGGGAGAGAGGGAGGGAGAGATGGAGGGAGAGGTGGAGAGGGAGAGAGGGAGGGAGAGAGAGGGAGGGAGGGAGAGAGGTGAGAGAGAGAGGTGGGAGAGGAGAGAGAGGGAGAGAGAGGTGGAGAGGGAGAGAGGGAGAGAGAGGGAGGGAGAGGTGGAGAGGGAGAGAGGGGAGAGGAGAGGTGGAGAGGGGAGAGAGAGAGAGAGGGGAGAGAGGAGAGGGAGAGGTGAGAGAGGGAGAGAGGGAGGAGAGAGAGGGAGAGAGAGGAGAGAGAGGTGGAGAGGAGAGAGAGGGAGGGAGAGAGAGGGGAGAGAGGGAGAGAGGGAGGAGAGGTGGAGAGGGAGAGAGGAGAGGGAGGGGAGAGGGAGGGAGAGGTGGAGAGGGAGAGAGGGAGGAGAGGTGGAGAGGGGAGAGAGAGGTGAGAGGGAGGAGAGAGGGAGGGAGAGAGAGGAGAGGGAGAGAGAGGGAGAGGGAGAGGTGAGAGAGGAGAGAGAGGGGAGAGGTGGAGAGAGAGGTGGAGAGGTGGAGAGGGAGGGAGAGGTGGAGAGGAGAGGTGGAGAGAGGAGAGAGGGAGGAGAGAGGGAGGGAGAGGTGGAGAGAGGGAGAGAGGGAGAGAGGGAGAGGTGGAGAGGGAGAGGTGGAGAGGAGAGGAGGGAGGAGGGAGAGGGTGGAGGAGAGGAGAGAGGGAGGGAGAGAGAGGGAGGGAGAGGTGGAGAGGGAGAGAGGGGAGGGAGAGGGTGGAGAGGGAGAGGGGAGAGGGAGGAGAGGAGAGAGAGGGGAGAGAGGGAGAGGAGAGAGAGGGAGGGAGAGGTGGAGAGAGAGAGGGAGAGAGAGAGGGAGGAGAGGAGAGAGGGAGGGGAGAGGTGAGAGGGAGGGAGGGAGAGGGAGAGAGGTGGAGGAGAGGGAGAGGGGAGAGGGAGGGCTGTGCTGACTCACGGACTGCAGTGAGGCAACGTCAGGACAGAACACTGACACCGGACGATCGATGCTGCAAAAGAATCTGCTGCTCTCGCTCATATCGTCTCTTAAAATAATTAAAACATCCTTTATTTTGCAAACGTGACTCGTGTGAGCTGTAAGTCATCTTTTTTTTTAATGAGTCCAAAACGGAAGTATGTCGACTACTTTTGAGTTTGACATACAACACAGTGTCCCTCGTTTATCGTGGGAGTTATGTTCTAAAAATAACCCGCGATAGATGAAATCCACAAAGTATCAACTTTATATTTTACAATTATTACATCTGTTTTAAGTCTGTAAAAGCCTCAGCACTAACGTTATACACCAGAGGAGCTCACACTTTTTCATCATGTGAGCTACTTACAAAATGACCAAGTCAAAATGATCTACCTAATACAAAGTCAAGCAAACTGCACTGAAACAGTCTGTGCCCCTTTTTTGGACCCTCCCCCACAGTTTGAGAACCTCTTCTTTAAGAGAACTTCCTCTGGCACTTTACACAAAACTGTGAAAAAATTTAAGGAAGATTTTTAAACCTGTTTTTTAAAGTTCCAAACTGGAGTTTCATTCTTTTCTGGTTTTGCAGTGATATTTACCAGCCTCTGCACGTTTACCAAACCAAACGCACATCGTGACAAACACAGATGCATTTGTCACTTTTGTTGGACAAACTTCAGCCAAATGTGGCAGTAGGTCTGTTCTGTAGATCCGCTCTATGCTGTAGACCTGCTTTGTGCCAACACTGGAACACAAATTTAGACTGGTTTTTGCTTCACGTTTGGTCTTGCTCTTCTAATCAGCCGCACTGTGGGAGGGGCTTGTGTTGGCTGTACGCAGGAAGGAGCGAGAGCGTGAAAAGGCGAGGGGCGGCGTGCTGACGTGAGGCAGATGGACAGGTAGGATGTTTAGGAAGTTGAACCTGCCCTGTGATGCACGCTGGTACACGAGGGCACACGCTGTCGCAGACGAGCCGTGCATAGGGAGCGTGTGTGTTTGTGATGCGCCGTAGAGTCTCCGCGGGTTTCAAATGAGCGCACAGGCTGCACTGAGACGCCCCACACGCTCCTGCACCCGCTACAAGTTTATTACCAACAGCAGCGGCCGGAATGAAATATGATCACACTTGTTGAGTGTCAGACCTCGAGTGAGAGACAAGACCGAGTCCAAACGCGAGTCCGAGACGAGACACGGCGATCTACCCACACGACCTTGGCCATCGACTGGTAGATCGGGATCGACGTATTGAGCACCCCTCTTATTCACTTTTCTCACAAAGGACAGTTACAACACTTTTACATCCTTCTTAAAACTAATTGCTACTGTCGTCCTTTTGTTATTTTCCTCTTTCTTTATGGAACAAACCGAAGATTCATTTATCGTATCCTCTGGCTTCCTCTGCTGATATAAACTCCTTCTCGATTCCCTTGTAAGTGATGTGAAGTCGTGTAAGGGTAAAATAGACCATACCGAACACCTTCAATGCCCCGAAGCTGCCGCCTCACATTGTTGAATGCTATGTTACCCGTATGGTCCGGAAAGATGGAGAGCGCCATGTCTCTGACCTTTATCTGACCACGATCCCAGAATGTCCACACAGTCACTGTAGTAATGAAGCCTGCACACAGTGGCTCGAGGACGTGGTCGTTCACCTGGTTTGTGTTGGCGTGGCTTAGTTCGATGGGACCAGTCCAAGCAGGGCTCATTTTCAAGCGAGAGAGCGTCCTTAAGCAAAGCAGCAACGGCAGCGGTGGAGCTGGAGTCGGGTCCGTCCAGAACTCCTACAATCCGAATATTGTTAAGCCGTGACCTAGCCTCCAAGTCCTCACATTTATTTTCAAGCCTAGTTACATTTGCAGTTAGTTGTGCGATAGTCGTTCTCATATCAGCGATGTCATCAGTACAATCGGACAGCGCTGTCTCCATGTCCTCCACAGTGCCCTTGAGCGCAGCCAGTGTAGCATCAGTAGCCGCTTTATGAGCCGCTAGCTGCGTTTGCGAGGCCTGTATATCAACTCTGACGGGCGATATCGCGGGCCAGAGAGCATCCTGGAGTTCTTTCTTAATAATTCCAGCAATGTTTTCTTTCAGCGATTCCAGGAGCTTGAGTTGAAGTGCAGCGGTGTCCGTGATAGGTTCAGATTCACACGGTGGTGTCGGGGCGGGCTCCGCCTCAGCTGAAGCTAATGCTACACCTGAAGGGATGGCCGCGGCCTGTATGCTAGGCTTCAGTTGTGTCTGAATAGTATTACAGGTCTTAATCGTACTCGTACTTAATCGTACTCTTCCCAGCCTCTTTCCAGCCATTTTGTGGTCGTCTCAAATGGAATTTGAGAACAACAAGTTCAACAGGTAAGAAAATCACTAGTTTTGTGACTAAAAGCGCAACAAAAATAACAATTTTGTCTGATATTGGCAGGAGCCTACGAACTAACGTGCTACTCCATGAACAGCTCCGCCACGTCCCCCCCGAAGATTCATTTTCACATTTCACATTCATTTATAACGTAATGGAGCCTACAGCGCAGTTCTCCTTTTGGAGACTCACACCCGCCCGCACCTGTGCAGGACTCTGTTACAGTCGTGTAACTTCTCCTTCCTTCAGCGTGTCCAGAAGTCCAGCTC